ACTTTCAGTACTGTGTTGAATAGAAATGGCAAGAGTGGGCATTTTTGCCATGTTCCTGATCTCAGGGAACTGAGCTTTTAGTTTTTCACCATTCTGAATGTGCTGTTAGTTGAGGGCTTCTCATAGGTGGCCTTTATTATGTTGGGGCAATTTCCTTATATTCTTAGTGTGAGTTTTTTGTTTTGTTTTTTAATCATGAAACGATGTTGAATTTTGTCAAATACTTTTCTATGTCAATTGAGGTAATTATTTGTTTTTCTCCATTCTGTTAATGTGTTGCATTACATTGATTTTTTTCATATGTTGAACCATCTTTGCATTTCAGGAATAAATCCCATTTGGTCATGGTATAATTTTTTTAATGTGCTGTTGAATTCTGTTAGTATTTTTTTGAGGTGTTTTTTTTTTTTAAGATTGCTGTTAATTTGTCTTTAAATATTTGGTAGAATTCTCCAGCGAAGCTATCTAGTCCTGGGCATTTATTTTCCAAGATGTTTTTGATCACTAATTCAATCTCCTTACTGGTTATAGGTCTATTTAGATTTTCTATTTATTCATGGTTCAGTCTTAATAGGCTATGTGTTTTTAGAAATTTGTTCATTTCATCTAGGTTATCCAATTCATTGGCATATAATCATAGTATTCTTTTATAAGTTTTCATTTCTGTAAAATTGGTAGTAAAGTCTCTTTATCATTTTAGTTATTTGAGTCCTCTTTTTTTTTCTCTTCATCAATCTAGCCAAAGGTTTATCAATTTTGTTGATCTTTTTCGAAGAACCATCTTTTGGTTTTGTTGATTTTTTTCTATTTTTTTTCTTATTCTTTACTTTATCCTCTGCCCCAATTGCTATTATTTCCATCCTTCTACTAGCTTTAGGCTTTATTTGTTCTCTCTCTCTCTCTCTCTCTCTCTCTCTCTCTCTCTCTTTCTCTCTCTCTGTCACTCTCTCTCTAACATTTCCTTAAGGTATAAGTTTAGGTTGTTAATTTGGAAGCCTTTTTCTTTTTTTTTTTTTTAATGTGAGCATTTACAGCTCCACATTTCTTTCCTAGCACTGCTTTTGCTACATCCCATAAGGTTTGGGTTTTGTGTTTTCATTTGTCTCAACATATTTTTATCTTTTGATGAAAGATTTTGGTTCTTTTGTTTTAAAATTTTTTTCTTTGACCCATTGATTTTTTAAAGAGTCTGTTATGTAATTTCCACATCTTGTGGATTTTCCAGTTTTCCTTCTGCTATTAATTTTTAGTTATATTCCATTGGGATCAGAAAAGATACTTTGTATGATTTCAGTCTTTTTAAATATTAAGATTTGTTTTGTGCTTAACATATGGTCTATTCTGGAGAATGTTCTGTGTGCACTTTGGAAAAATGCATATCCTGCTATTGTTTGGTGGCATGTTTCGTATATGTCTGTTAGGTCCAATTGATCTATAGTTTTGTTTAAGTTCTTTATTTCCTTACTGATATTCTCTCTGGTGGTTATATTCATATTTGAAGGAGGGGTATTAAAGTTTTCTACTATTGTAGAAGTATTTCTCTCTTCAGTTCTGTCAGTTTGTTGTGGCATTTGGTGCATATGTTTGTAATTGTTATATCTTCTTGGTGAAATGATTCTTTTATTATATAATGCTTTCTTTCTTTCTTACAACAGAGTTCGACTTAAAGTCTATTTTGTCTAATAGTAGTATAGCTCTCTCAACTTTCTTTAGGTTATTATTTGCATGGAATATCTTTTTCCATCCTTTAACTTCAATCTATGTGTATTTTTGGATCTCAAGTGAGTCTCTTGTACACAGCATTTAGTTAGGTCCTGTTTGGTTTTTTGGTTTTTTTTTTTTTTATCCATTCTGCCAATTTCTGTTTTTGGATTGGGTAGTTTAATCTATTTACATTTAAAGTAGTTACTGATAAGGAAGGACTTACTCTTGCCATTTTGTTGTTTGTTTTCTATGTGTCTTTGGGCTTCTTTGTCCTTCATTTCCTTCCTTACTACATTCCTTGGTGTATAGTTGAGTTTTTTTGTGGTGACACATTTTTATTCCTTTCTTCTTTTTGTGTATATTCTATAGATATTTTCTTTGTGGTTACCGTGGGGATTACTTATAGAATCCTAAAGTTATAACAGTCTATTTTGAACTGATACCAACTCAACTTCAACCTCATATTAAAATCCTACTCCTTTTCAGCATCACCCTCCCCCACTTTGTTGTTGATAATCCCGAATTACATGTTATATATTGTGTACCCCTTAATCTGGATTTATAATTATAATTTTTATGCTCTTTGTGTTTTAAATCTCATAAAGGAATAAAAAGTAGAGTTACATACCAAAATTATGATATACTGGTTTTTATATTTGTCCATGTATTTCTCTTTACCAGAGAACTTTACATTTTTGTATAGCTTCAAGTTACGCTCTAGGTTTCTTTCATTTCAGTTTAAAGGACTCCCTTTAGTATTTCTTGTAGGGCAAGTCTAGTGGTAATGAACTCCTTCAGCTTTCATCTGGGAAAGCCTTAATTTCTCAATTATTTTTGAAGGACAGTTTTTCCAGATATAGAATTCGCAGTTGACAGTCTTTTCTTTAAGCACTTTAAATCTATATATCATCCCATTGCCTTCTGGTCTTCAAAGTTTCTGCTTGTTATCCTTTTGAGGATCCCTTGTATGTGATGAGTTTTTCCTCTTGCTGCTTTAAATAGTACTGTTTTTCAATTTCAAATTGTTTACTGCTATTATACAGACACAATTCATTTTTGTAAATTGATTTTCATCAGTCTGAGTGTTTATGTCCCCCCACCCCCCCACCACACAAATTCATATGTTGAAATCCTAACCCCCAAAGTTGGTGGTAATTAAGAGGTGAGGCTTTTGGGAGGTGATTAGGTCATGAGAGTGGAGCCACCATGAATGGGATTAGTTGCCTTATAAAAGAGACCACATAGAGCTCCTTAACCCCTCAGTCATGTGAGGACACGATGAGAAGGCACCATCTCTGAACCTTAGTTTGCACTAAATAGCAAATCTTCTGGTACCTTGATCTTGGACTTCCTAGCCTTCATGAGAAGTAATTTCTATTGTTTATAAGCTACCCAGTCTATTATAAGCTACCCAGTCTGTGGTATTTTGTTCTAGCAGCTCAAATAAAAGACAATTTCCTCATCCTTTTGATGTCTTCAAGATCTATGGCAACACCCTTTAATTCCTAATATTGTTTATCTGTGTTTTTCGCTCTTTTTTTTGTCAGTCTGACTAGAGGCTTATCAATTTTATTGATCCTTTCAAAGAATGAACTTTTAGTCTAATTGACTTTATTATTTTTCTGTTCTCAATTTCATTTATTTCTTTTTTTATGTTTTTGTTTTCTGTGAGCTTAATTTGGTCTTTCTAGTTTCTTAAGGTGGCATTTTAGGCCATTGATTTGAGACTTGCTTTTTTCTAATATACTGTAAAGCTATAAATTTCCTTCTAGGCACTGCTTTAGCTACATCTCACAGATCTTTCTGTTACTGATTTCTGGTTTAATTCCTATGTACTTGGAGAACATACTTTGTGTGTGTTAAATTTGTTAAGGTTTGTTCTATGCCCCCAAAATATGGTCCATCTTGGTGAACTTCTGTGTGCTCTTGAAAAGAATGTGCATTTGACTATTTTGGGGTGGAGTATTCTATAAATGCCAATTACATTAAGTTGGTTGGTTGTGTTGTTCAGGCTTTCTACTGAATTTCAGTCTACTTTCTCAGTTGATTACTGAGAGAGGAATGTTGAAATCTTCAACTATAATTTTGGATTTGTCTGTTTCTTTTTTCCAGTTATATCAATTTTGATTTATATTTGTCCTTTTGTATTTGGCTTATTTCAGTTAGTACAGTCCTTTATATTATATTTTTTATCCATTGAGCATGGTGCCATTTGTCCTTTTCACTTCATGGAATTATTGTTTAAAATAATATGAAATAGTTAAAATCTAACATGTACTGTATAAATTTAAGATATATAAACACTGGTAAGTATTATATGAAAACAGTGAACTCATTTGCTGTCTGTGTATGACTGTAAGTGGGTTTACTTTGCTTACAATTTAAAAATTATTCCTATGTTTAATAGAAATGCTAGGGGTCTTTTAAAATTCAAAATTAGGGAACATCATCTTATAGAAAAAAAAAACATGTTAAGTGACCGCTTATGAGATGTTAAGTAATTTTATATTTTGTGTAATTCAATGCTTTATACACATTGTTTGACTTGAAAAGTTATTGCATTTCTTTTTCTTTTTAGGATTCTAATTCTCAGATGGATTTAAACATTCAGATAACTGATTATGATATTAATGAGATAATTCAAATAGATGGAACTGGTGATACATCCTCCAATGATGAAACAGGAAGTACAAGGGATGTAGATGAGAATGAATTTCTAGGAATTATTGATGGAGGAGACCTGAAGGTACTTGAAGAAGAAGCTGACAGAATATCAAATGGAGATTCAATTGCCAACAGTAGTGACAGTGAAGACCCTCAAATAGACATTGTGGAAGAGGTGAGGATTGCTTTTGAGCTGAAGCTTTCTTCCTTTCTAACATTTGTACTTTAATATACTTTGGAACCAAGAGGAATAACAATTAAGATTAACTCTGTCTTTAGTCTTTCACAGTGAGACTTACTTGTACACTAGTATTGAAACTTTTAATCTTAAACTCAGATTTAAGCTGGTATTAAGTATTTAGGAATCAGCTACTGTATTTGTTGGTCTTAACTAGAGAGAGTGGGAGGGGTAGGGGATGAGAGTGGAGGTAAAGAAGGTAGTCAGGGTGGAGGCTTATAGTATCTGCTCTAATCCTCACACAGTGCTAAAATCTTTGGATTATGGTAACTAAGAAGCATGTAAGGAGTATTAACTATCATTTATGGTTGGCTTTACGTATGCTCCAGGTACTGTATTAATTCTTACCTGTATTATGTTATTTGACATTCTCACTGCCCTGTGGGTTTTATTACTACGCTCATTTTTTCAGATGAGAAAACAGAGATATGAGGATTTTTAGTAATTTACCAAAAGTCATAGTTATTAAGTGGCCAAGTTGGGATTCAGATTCAGGCTATTTGACTTTTAAGTACATTACTATTCTGTCTTGCCAAGTTCCTTTATTTACATATGTCTGTCTTTAAAAAATTCAAAGCATCATTAATTCCTTAATGTGACTGTCTTTCATCTTTAGGACCCTTTAAATTCCGGAGATGATGTGAGCGAGCAGGATGTGCCAGACCTGTTTGACACAGATAATGTCATTGTCTGTCAGTATGACAAGGTACTGTATTCACCTTTTAGACTTTGGGTTTATTAACTGCATTAATAGTAGAAAGGTGTGTAAAATGATGGGAAATATGATGGTGAGTTATAGTTCACAGCTTAATTATTCTTAAAATAGCTAATTAATTCTATAAGTTTTGGGGGTGTATTTTGGATCTAACACTGTGCTGGTGGTCTCCGTGATCCAAAAAAGGTGAGCGTCCTTGTCTCAAGGAGGTGACAATCTTACTGAAACAAGATGTTTGTGTATGGAATAATAGAATGGCATACAATGAGATGGTAGGTAAATCAAAAGCCAAAATATGTGAAAGCTAAATCAAATACTAAGATAAGTGGCACAGATAGTAAGTCCTAAAAGTGGCTAGGAGATACAAGAATCATTTGTTGCTGGAGTTCTCCACAAATGTTTCATGGGTGATGTGGGGCTTTGAAGTAGGTCTTGAATGATTTCTAGGATATAGATAAGTGTGGAAAATGGGCATTCACAGTAGAATAGCCTGATAAAAGGCAGAGAAATGAATGCATTAGAATGTACAAGGGGCAGTAAGGGGGCAGCTCTGCCTTGAAGTGTTCTCCTTTCGGATGTATTAGGAAATGAGGCTGGGTGGGGAACAGAGCTGGAAGCAGATTGGAAAATCCAGAATCCTGGTGAGGGAAATCCAGAACTGATTTGATGGACATTAGCCCTCTAAGGATGTTATTGAGAAAACTGTAATTGGGTTTGAAAACTGGCAGCGTTTTGTGACTTAGAAGAGGAAATTGTAAGAACAGGGGTAGTGCAGACATGAAGTAACCAGGTTCCAGATTAAGGATGGTGGTGTAGACCATGGGAGAGTCAGAGATTATGATGGAAGAATCAGTGGGACTTGGTGCTGAGGTTGACATGATAGAATTATCAACAACGGAGGTTTGAAGATGTATCTCAGGTTTCAAGCCTAGAAATTAAGTTAGTGGCAATTTAACTTTAGCAACAAAAATGTAATACTCTTTTAAAAAAAAAACACAAAAACCAAAAAACAAAAACACTATAACTATGATTATGTAGTAGAATGGTCAGTTTTTGTCCTTGATTCATGCATATTTACATATTTATTTTTTAGAAGCTATGAGATGTAATTCACTTACTACTACTACATAGTTTGCCTATTTAAAGTGTACAATTCAATGGTTTTTAGCATAGTCATGGATATATGTATCCATTAACATGGTCAATTTTAGAATATTTTTATCATCTCAAAAAGAAACCCTATACCCACTAGTTCTCACTACTGTATCTCCCTATTTCCTCCCATCCCCACTACCAGGCCTAAGGAACCACTAATCTACTTTCCGTCTCTTTAGATTTCCCTATTTTGGAGTTTTATATGAAAGGAATCATGTAATATGTGGTCTGTTGTGACTGGCTTCTTTACACAATGTTTAGAATTTCATCCATGTTGTAGCATGTAACAGTTTTTCCTTTTTATTGCTGAATACTAGTCCGTTGAATGGATATACCACATTTTGTTTATTCATTCACCTGTTGATGGACATTTGTGTTGTTTCCACCTTTTGGCTCTTAAGAATGCTGCTGTAACATTTATGTACAAGGTTTTGTGTGAACATATATTTTCATTTCTCTTGATACATACTTGATAAAAGTGGAATTCCTGGTTTATGTAATATTGGGTTGTCAGAAAAGTCATGACACATTTTCGCAACGAAAAACATAGGAAAAAATACGTCATGAGTTTTCTGACAACCCAATAATAATAGTTTGAGTAACTGTGTTCCAAAGTGGCTGTACTATTTTTCATTCTAATCAAGTGTCTGAAGATTTAGATTGATCCACATTCTCACTAAAACTTGTTATCTAACTTTTTGATTCTAGCCATCCTAGTGGGTGTGAAGTGGTACCTCATTGAGGTTTTCATTTGCATTTCCCAGATGACTAATGCATGTTTACATCTTTGACTTTTGTGCAGTAACAATTTCAATATACTCCAGTGAAACAGAGCATGGTGTTTTGAATTTTTGTAAAAATAAATCCTTTTCTCTAAAAATCAGATTGTTTTCTGTCCTATAACATTTTCTACAGATAGTAAATGGCAATTTAGGTGCTGGTAAACATAAGCATAAGAAGGAATAGGTAATAGAAAAAGGACCATTCTTAGTTTGAAACTTATTTTACTTTTTTATAAATAGTGTATTGCCTTCTATGAAAAAAACATTATAAGGCACTAAATTATATGTGCATTCCCTAGAGGCACAAAGAATTTTCTAGAGTGTCCTTTGTTGTACTTCACTGTGGGAAATTGCTTGTAATTAATTACATAGTGGTTTATATTTTTCAAAGCATTTTTCATACATTGTCTTTTGCTTCTTAACAGCAATCTGTGGAGTAGATAGGAATGTCATTAGATGTATAGTGTTAACAAATCTAGTTGTCTACTTAGTTAATATTTTAAGATCAATACTAAAAATTTTAATGGAAACCAGGGTGTTCGGGAACCAATGAAAAGTTTTTAAATGGGAGTGATGAAATGAGAAGATAGCTAGCAAAGAGAATGTATCTGTAAAGTCAAAATGGGTGGAAGGGAACACTGTCATACTGAATTTTTATAAAAGAGCAACTTTCCAGTCCTGGTCATTGGTTGGCTTGTTTCAAATAGTATTGAAAGACTCAAGTAAATTGAAAACCTTTTCAGTAGTCTTTTAAGAGCTTTACTACTCAGCGTTGTTTTGAAGGCCAGTAGCATCGGTTCCCCTGGAGAGTGATACAAATGCAGAATTTGGGGTCTTGTCCCAGACTTCTAGATCAGAAGGTGCACTTTAACAAGACACCCCAGGTGATTTGCATGCTCATTAAACTTTGAGAAGCACTTTTGGTGGTTTTTTTTAGTATATTTTTGGCTTTGATTAGCACATTTAAAGGAATTTACCTTTAAAACTTATTAATGTAATGATTGGGGAAGAACTTCACAAATATTAAGATGTGCTATGAAAAAAGGTTAAATGAAGGTCATTGGTCAACATGCGAATGAGAATTAAAGTGTATGGACATGTTATTTCAGAAGCCTAGGGAATGTGTAAGATTAATATAAAGGTTAAAGTAATAAGAATATCATAGGGAAGATTAATGGTGAAATGAAACCTTTTACTATAGATGGGGGTGTTCTATGCTATGATAGGACACTATGTATAGTTAAATGTGAAATTATATGAATACATTACATCTTCATTTAACAGCTTAGCAAACTTTTGCTTATCACTGGCTTTGTCCAGTACAATGCTTTGCTAACGAGTAATTGCTAGTGTGTAGCACAGTATCTCTCTCTAATATATATATATTCTGTTTTTTGAATTGGTACTGCATATACATCATTAAAAACAGCAAAACACTGCAAAAGTTATACCTTGAAAAACCTGATTTCCACTCCTTCACCATTTGTGCTTCCTGTCAGTAGCTCCCTGTCCCTGCCTTGAGTACAAAGAAGTAACCAGTGACGTATATTAGTTTCTTAACTAATAAAAACAGAGTCTTTTTTTATTCAAGTACAAGCCTAAAAGGTAGCACAGACAGCGTTTTTTCTGCACCTTGTCTTTTAAAGACAGTAACAGTATATCTTCGAGATTTTTGTGCTAGTGTTTTGATAGCTGTGTAATAGTCCATTGTAGAATTATTAAAATTTATTTATAATAACTGGTCCCCTACTGATGAATATTTGAGTTCTTTTTCAGTCATTTGCTATTGAATGGCCACGTACATAAGACATTTCATATGTGTGCAGTTGTATCTATTAAATCGCAAGAAATAAGATTACTGGGTCAAAGGGCAGATGTATTTGGTTAGATATTGTGAAAATGCTCTTCTAGAGGCTATTCTCATGTATACTCCCATCACAAGGTTTGAGTGATTTTCTTTTCCTATAGCCTTGCCAATTGAATATAATAAGACATTTGGACCTTTGCTATTATGAAAGGTGAAAAATGACATCTTGGTGAAATTTTTAACTTTGTTTGTTTAAGGGCCATTTGTATTTACTTTTATGTGAATTGCTTGTTCATAATTTTATTTTTAAAAAGTGGATTATTGGTCTATTTATTGATTTCTAAGAGGTGTATTCTTTTGGGGGAAATTAGCCTTGGTATATGCAGAAATACTTTTTCCTCAGTTGTTTGCTTTCAGTGCCTTTTTTTTCTCTAATGCAGATGTTTAATTTGTCAACCTTTATTTTTATGGCTTGTAAATTTTGAGTCATGAATAGAAAGTTCTTTCTTGCCTCAAGATTTTGAAGGGATTCACCCATATTTTCTTCCAGTATTTCTTTGGTTTCTTTTTAAAACTATAAGTCTTGATCGATTTGGTGTTTATTTTGGTGTATAATGTGACATAAAGTTCCAACTTTTTTTAAGGTGGCTACCCAATTTTCCTAACATTCATTGAAAAAAGTCTACCTTGTCCACAATGATAAGAGAATGATTTCTTTATCATCTACTTAATTTCTGTATGTATTTGGATCTACTTCTTGATTTTCAGTTTTATTCCATTGATTTGTCCATTGGCCTGTGCTAATCATTCTCATTATTGAGGTTTTTGATATCTAGTAGGGCTAATCCTCTTCATAATGTTCTTTTCCAGGTGCTTGTCTACACTTCCCTTCCTTGGTTTGACTATTTACAGTCAACAACTAGGTTTAATTTTATACCCTTGATTTCAGACCATATATTTCTAAGGTTTTAAAAATACATAGTCACTTGTATTTTGCCCAGAGGTAACAATCATTTTATAATTTCTCACCTCTTGAGATAGTGGGATTTCCTAGTTTTTATTTTGTCTATATCTAGGCTGACTTACTGAATTCAAAGAACAGCCAGTAGAATCTAATAAGTTATAAGCTGTATCTTCTGACCTCGCTCAGTGTTTTATTGTGACTTTTTTCTTCAAAATGAAACACTGCTTTTTGAAATTCCTGATAATGTTAAGTATATCCTTTCTATTGATTCCTTTGCTGACATACTGAATTCTTTGCTGTTCTTTAGCAACCCAGGAATGCCCCTCCTCAGGACTGTTGTACTTCTGTTCCCTTTGCCTGAAATGCTCTCCAGCCAATATCTTCCTGGATTTATCCCTAACGTTCTTCAAGTCTTTGTGCAAATGTTATCTCATAAGTCAGGCTCACCCTGCCTCTCCTCTCTCAAATTATAACCCCACCTCTGTACTTGTGATCTTCCTTTTCTTGCTCTATTTTTCATAGCAGTTATCACCTTTTAATATTCTATATAATTTATTATAATTCATTATTTATTAGGCTTCTGTTTCCCCTATCCTTACTAAAATGTAAACTCTTCAAAGACAGGATTTTTCCCCCATTTTATTTATATATATATATATATATATATATTATTTTTTTCTTGTTTTTTAAAACTGATCTATATCCAGTGCCTAAAACAATATCTGACATATAAGAACCTCAAATATTTGCAGATGAATGAATGAACTATCTTGAGGAGGTCTTATTTTAAAGAATTCTCCTTTGGGTCAGAATAATCCCATGTGATATGCAAAGAAATGTAAATAATCTTTTGACTTTAAAATTAATTAATTTAGACTGTTTTTCTCCCTCTAGATTCACCGAAGCAAGAACAAATGGAAATTCTTTTTGAAAGATGGTGTTATGTGTTTTGGAGGGAGAGACTATGTATTTGCAAAAGCTATTGGTGATGCAGAGTGGTAAAACTTATGAGCTCAATACATCATAAACATCAGTGGGACTATATCATGTATTGCAGAACTTATTTTTATTTAAATATGGTCCACAGAGCTCCAGTTTTTAGTTCACTGTATGGAATTTAATAAAATTATAATTCAGATGAAGATGCAAATATATGATTTTATATTTCTTTCATTTACTGTTTTAACAGGGTTTCTTTTTTTTTAAACCCTCATTATCCATACCATTACAAAGCATAGATGAATCTGGTGTGATGGAACATGAAGAAATGTCCCATTCCTTTCATCTTGAAGTAAAATTCCCCTTCATGGTGAAGTCATATCAGTTATTAGATTGAGGCCCGTGTTCCTCCTAATTCTCACCAAGTGAGTAGCAGGATATTCAGGAAGACTTCCCTGGGCCTTTTCGTCTACACTCGTCACCAATGATGTGGCCCCTTGGCGGCAGATGCCTCTGCTCAGCCCATACTGCACACGAACATGGAAACCTTTCCTGAGGCCCGGATCCCTGGAGCTAAGAACGAGTCTCCCTGAGCTTCTCCTGTGCCAGGCCTTTCTTCTTGTATCCTGCTGTCTCTCCAGGGAATTGTGAGGGGGGACAGGGTTAGGTTCCCATTTTACTTCTTGAAACTTCAGACTTCTGTCCTCTTCCTAGTCATGGTGGGTTTTACCTCCCTCCTTAAGTTTTTTCTATTCTTCTTAAAGTGGTAGACCCCTGTGCAAACTCTTTATCTATCAAAGATACTACCTCTCTTCCGTTTCCCTAACAGGGAATCCCCTCATTGAGTTTAGGCTTTCTAAAACAGAAGGCAAGAAGAGATACTCTCTTCAGGAACCCTCTGCCTTGGCCAAATTAGATTGCCTAACCTCATTTGAGACAAGAAGACCTGGATAATTGTCTTAAAATCAGGGAGAAAAACAAAATGTAAAACACAAATAGCTCTGATTTTCCTGCACCAATAAAAACAAAGCAGATTGTCTCAATAAATTATTCTATAATACTCTCTTTCTTAGAAGATTCAAGTCCTTCAGAGGAACATTTTACCCATCATTCTGCGCCTCCTAATGGGTAGAGAATACATGGTCTCTAAATCAAGAATCCCTAGCTTCAGTTCTGAATGGTGTTCTCCAGGACAGTGCCCTCACACAGAGAGCAGTGCTGGGATGAGTGGGTGATGGCCTGTAATAGGTCCCTAAGGATTAGATACCTGGATCTGGCTGGTCACAGGGCGAATTCCCTATTTTTCGGAGGTAACCCCACTTTGAGAGTTTGATTTCAACACTTGTCCTGTCCCACCCAAGGACTCAGCTACTGCTGGCAGATCATTTCAAAATCTGGCTAAACCTCTTCTGGGTCTTGGACTACATATGTGGGGTACTGTCTTTGGTCTACAGTTGGCAGCTGCGTGAGGATTCAATTTATACTAATAAGTGGGCTGATCCCCTAACCAGATTCTCCAGCTATGCCTTCTTCATCCTCAGAGTGATTGTCCTTCACCCTACCACCATTGCTGTTCCAGATCCTTCCCTGCCTTTGAGAACGTCCAGGTGCTGTGGGTTCTCTTCATGGATGCTACCTACCATGAGATGGCCACCTTTTCTACATGGAAGGCCAAAAGAGGGCACTTATTCTTTGTGTCTGTCTTTGAAATGTACCCCCTTCAGGGCTGAGGAGTACACTTTCTAGTCTTCCTCCAGCTTTTTTCCTCCCAGGCTTACCCAGTCACTCTGTATTTGCTCTAGGCAAGCCTTAGTGCAAAGTAAGGGCTGAACTTATTGACAAGGTGAAATCACTTGGGAATTGGGGTTTAATGTGATGGTTTAAGTGTTTAGTAGAGGCAATAATAGTTGTTTCTAAAGTTCCTCTTTTCCACTGTGAATTTTAAAATGTGACTTTGCTTCAGTGATTTTTTTTTAAATGGCACATTACAATTACTGTTATTTCATAGGTCGTCTTTATTCATGTACATTTTATCATTAGAGGAAAAAAATCACAGTTGTCCCATCTGTGTCTCTGCATGCCCTCATGCCCCTGATATTTTAAAAATGCAAAAAAAAATTAAAAGTAGACTTACCATAAAATAAAACAAATCCCAATAATAATTATCCTTGCATGCTAACATACATGATGATGATAGTTTTGGTGGTGACTGCAGAGAAAATTAAGAGATTCCCCAAATTATTATGAACCTCGTGCCTTTTTATTAGTCTCTAATAATGCTAGAAAAAAATTCTCGTTCTCCAGAAGTTATCTAAATGAGTGGTTTTTCACAATTTCTTTTTTCTTTTTTCTTTTTTTTTTTTTTTGCCAGGATCCACACTAAGAAATATACTTTAAACATGAGTATATGTTTGCATGTTCACAGACACACATAACACAAATGAAACAGTTTCAGAAAATCATGCTTGCCTTTAGCACATGGTAGCCTCCTATATTTTCTATTTGGTTCTGTTCTGTTGCATTAAAAAAATGGATGGTATTGATCTACTAGATTGATTTCACTATCTACTGATTGATGATCATGACTCCTAGTTAAAACAATATTTTTAACCCATCTGCTAAAGATAGAGTGAGACAAATCTTAATCCATTTTAAAAGAGAAAATTATTCTTTAAGCCCTATGAGTTGGTGGAGTATATCTAAGACTTGGCTTTGATATGATATTGCTTTTACTTTCAGAAACTTCTTCATGTCCAAGCTAAACATTTCATGTTGTGTATTATAACAAAATATAGAGTAAGTTCTGAGTTCTTATAAATACAATACCTTGGCAAATGTCATCCTTTACCTTTTTATAGGTGGAGAAAGTGTCTCTAATTATAGAAGTTACAGTTTGCTGTGTTAAATGGAATTTGTGAAAGTGTCATGTATCATATTTCCTAATTCAAACTCTTTCTCATGCATGCATCCTACAGCATTTTCTTACAGACATTCCACCTCTCCCTGTTGGGCTAAGAAGGTCTTAGTTGAGTTTGCATAGTTCCTTAAGACTGACAGGCCGACCTTGCCTGGAATGGCTTCTTTACCTGTTTTAGTCAGTGTGCTATAATATGTGTAAATAATGTACAGCTCAGGCATGACAGGGCCGTGAGACTCCAATTCTGGCTGAGGCACTCAGTTTCAATCAGTTAAGTTGTGTAGGAAAACTAATAACTTGACAATGAATAGTGACAGTTAATGTAAGTGGTGAGCAGGGGAATTTAGTAGGGGATTTTCTTTTGAGTCATGTTAGTAGGTTAATATTGTGCTGTTTTTCATGTAAATATACTGTAAGCCAGGTGGGAACTTTGTGATTTATAACTAGAAAGCTAAATTACAAATAGGAAGCCCATGGTAATAACACTTAGGAAGAAACTTGATATTATAATACAAATATTGCACATTTCAAAGAAAAGATTATTATGAACATATTTATTGAAATCTGTGACATAAAGATTTTTAATTTACACAAGGACTTAATTCATTTTTGAGGAGAATAAAACAAGGCACTTTCCAGCAAATGTTATGAATAGAGGACAAAATACATTTTGAAAATATTTTGTAAGTTTAGATGAGTTATTCTGGGTTCATTAATCCTTTTTTGCAACCTACAGTGATAATCTCAAACATTGTAAAAAAAATGCTACAAATATAAATTTGCCGAGCATTTGATGTTTTCATGATTTATGTATGAGAAATTATACAGCTCAAGAATACAGATGCTTTCTATGAGACCATCGCATGTGGGAAAGGCTTTTTAACAAGGATTGTTCTATATATATATCAGCTATAAAAGTGAATCACCTAAAAAAAATATTAACCTACCATGTGTAAGGCTCTAGGGCAGATATAGTGGGAGAAATGAAGAAGTAAAAAAGATAACTGTATCACTAAAAAAATCTATAACATAGGTGAAATAAGAGGTATTCTATACACGTAAAGATAATACCCAGCAGTGTAGAATAAAAGACAAATGAGTGATATAGATGACAAATGCTCAAGAAGTCCAAAGAAAGAAACTGTTGGGGGTTACATATTTATTATTTATGCCCTATTTCAGGTAAAGGAAGTGTCTTGACTATAGTGGATTGGGTGCGGGGCTGGAGTAAGGAGAGCTTGATAAAGAAGCTAAACCTGTAGCTTATAGGGTCTTAAAGGATGAAGAAAGAGGACAAGTAAGGTAGAAGGTGTAAGAGTGGCATGGATACCAGAATGGAGATGCATAGGACATGGCTAGGAAAAAGTAAGTGGAACAATTTGTTTCAAGTAGAAAAACAGGAAATAAAAGGAGCATATTTGAGGATGGATCCTGGGGCTCTTTGAATGTTAGGCTAGGAGCTAAAGCTTCATAGGTACTGATGAGCTGCTTGGGATTTTTGGCAGGGGTGTAATAAGATGAAAGAGGATTTTAGGAAGATTAACAAGTAGTGCTGGGTAGGAGAGTGGGCATGGGAAAGACTGGATAGGAATAAAAATGAGGGAGGATGTGCTGTTACTCCAGAGGAAAGGGGAAATGGCCTGAGATGTGGGTGTGGCAGGAGGAATGCAAAATAAACTGGCGTGAAATACAATTCAAAGGGAGGTCTTAGTGAATGAAAGGATATGAGGGTGAGGGAGTCAAACTATGACTCTGTATGTTAAAACTTAAATTACAATGTAGAAAATAAAGATCAGTATTTGTCGAAAAGGCCACACAAGTTATTTTTAGAGTATGCGTCCAAGTACTTTGGGCTCAAACAATATTTAAGACTGCATAATTTAAGTGAAGTTTCTCCACAAGGATATATTTTATTTTTTTTCTTTTACTTTCTGCTGTTTCGTTTACTTAGTTGTTTTTGTTCTGGGATTTATGTATGAGTCAAAAAGTTTATTCTGTATGTACATAGCAACATGACTAATTATCTCATACCACTGAGACAAATTCTAGAACACTAACTTATGAGAGAGGATTGCATCTGAGTAAAAGACAAGTTACTGGTTAGGGAGTCAAATTCAGAAGTGTGAGAAACACAGAGAAGTTATATTTCATAAAGTTTATAATCTTGCGTAATCTATTTTGAATCACAGCCCAATGGCATAAAGATTGAAAGCAGACTAACTGTGTAGAGAGTCTAGTGATGACTATACATTTATTTAATAAAATGCCAAAGGAGAGCTACAAACTGGAAATAGCCCAGATATCCATCAGTCGGAGAATAGGAAACAGTATTATATTCACATAATGGAATACGATTCAGCAATGAACTACTGATTCAAGCAACAGCAGGATGAATAGCAGAAACATTGTGTTGAGTCAAAGAAGCCTAACACAAAAGAGTGTATACTGTGTGATTCCACTTACATGAGGTTCTAGAGCAGGCAGAACGGATCTATGGGGAAGAAGCAGAATTGTTACCGCTGGGTGGGGTGGGATGAGGGAATAAGTAGGCGGGGCATGAGGGGGTTTTCTGAGGGTGAGAGTGTTCTATATCTTCATAGAGGTTTTGGGTCACATGGGTATGTGCATTTTTCAAAACTCATTAAATGGTCTGCTTAGGATCTGTCCACTGCACCATATGTAAATTTTACCTAAAAATGTAAACAAATATTGAATCTTGGTTAATGATAAGCATGCTGAAGTATGTAGGGCTGACAAGTACTGATACCTGCAATTTAAAATGCATCAGAAATGATGGATGGATAGATAAATACTAGATAGGTAAGTATATAGATTTGTAATGAAACCCGTATAGTAAAATATTGACTCTTAAGTATATGGGTTTGCACTGTATAATTCTTTCAACTTTGTTTGAAAACGTTCACAACAAAATGTTGGGAAAATGTAAGGAACTTGGAACACATTAAGCCTTTGGATGACTATGATTTACCAATACGGAAAGCAGTGAAACATGGTGGTTAAGATGCTGGGGCCCTAAATCAGAGCTCTGAGTTTGGATCTTATTAGTTGAATCTTTTATTAGTTTTGAGAGCTTGGGGAAATTGTAATAGATTTTTCTCTACTATCATAGTTTTATGGAGATTAAATGGGTTAAGATATATAAAATAATCAAGATGTTTGTCATATAATAAGCTTTCAATAAAAATTATTTTAAGAAGTCTAAAGAACATACAAAAACACTGAAATTAAAACATAATTTCATTGCCATATAAGAGTCAATTCTGATAAAATATTTTCTAGCAAATGTTAGATATATACGTCTATACCCTCCAAAGGAAACGATGAAAGTTAATTTTTTTTTTTAAGCTGAGCCATCCTGTCACCTGTTGGCAGCTCAGCGGCAGCTCACCGGCAGCTCGGCTCGGGCCGGGAATCGAACCGGCGACTCTATTGCTCAAAACTCGCACTCTTGAGTGAACTTTTAACCAACTGAGCCACTTGGCCGGCCCTTGAAAATTAAATATTTTAAAATATTTTCTTCTACCTAAAGAAAAAGATGGGGCTCTTGAAAGAAAATAAACCATTTTTTCTCTTATAGATTTCATAACTTCACTGTAATTGAGCACATCTGTTGCACACCATTGCCAAGATCCTGAATTAGGAGACAGGAAAACAACACTGAGTCAGAGTTTCTACCCGTAAGGAGTTTACACTCTACTATTTAATGTTTCATTGGTGCTTAGAGGCTAAACACTGAACCAAGAAAATAGGCTCAAATGTGCCTTTAGATGCTTACTTACATTAAATTTTAAATAGTAGAACCTAGGCAGGAGATAGATAAAAGTCTCTATAACAGCACTTTCCAATAGAACTTTCTGTGATGATGAAAATGTTCTATGTATTTGCTGTCCAATATGGTAGCCACTGTTCATGTGTGGCTATTGAGCACTTGAAATGTGCCTGGTGCAACTGAGGAACTACATTTTAAATTTAAATTTAGCTATATGTGGCTAGTGACTACCAGATTGGACAGTGCATCTTTAGCGTGTGTTTCTCAAACTATCTGAGGAAAAGGACCAGTTATTTTAAATTTCAAATCTATTATGGATTAATATTTTTGTAAAATGCAATAAAAATGACTACAAAGATGTAATGAGAAAAAAAATGGAAGATGTAAAATACCACCTCTTTTTTTAATACTAGATTCAACAGATACAAATAACTCTGTCAAAATTGCTATAAAAGTTTTTAAATACTCTCAACTTCTGTATTGTATGTCATCATGTACCAGTCAATGACAAGTAGTTTTTAGATGGATGATGGTCATGACCCACACTTAGAGCTATGTAAAGGTCTCCTTTTGCCTAGGGTGCCTAAGAATAAATAATTTCCTAAAGCTGCCTCTTTGTTAAAATTACTGGTACAGATAATTGTTTTACATATTTAAGTAGAATTCAATAACGTGGTTACTGATGTAATAGTTAACACTTTTTACAACGAGTCTTGTCTAGGACAACTGTATATTGACAGTGCAATGTTCTCAACTTCAGAGTGGACTGCGAAGGCTTATTTGATTCAGTGAAGCCATTTTTGTAGTTGGAAAAATCCTTCCTTCTGTAAAGTTCAGCCCGACGTTTGCAGCAGCCAAATTTGCTCAGCAACAGAAAGAAATCCCTTCGGAATGCCTTTGTGAAAATTGCATACAGAAATGGATTGGCACAAGAGTTGACAGGATAAAAAAGAACCAGTAAAACTTTAGAGTTGGTTACTGTAATAAGCGGTACTTTGAAGGCAGCTGAGATAGCAAAAAAAGAGATAGGCGCCATGCAGGTGAAATCGGTGAAGATGAGGACTGCCATTTTCTTAGCAATCTTTGTATCTATATTGGTAGCCATCAGCTTTGGATTTTGAACTGCAAAATAAATTTTAATGTAGCAAGCACAAATGATGATGAAGGCCATGACATTGAGTATGAGAATGGTTAATATGTAGACTTGTGAGAGGGTGGTTTCCACATCCATGGGGAGGCAAATGCTGACCTTCATGTAATTGCTGACACCCACAAGGGGCAACATGGCAATTAGAGTAGAGAAGAGCCATCCTCCAAGCATAATTGGAATGGCATGTCTTAATCGTAGCTTTTGGTCCAGCTGGATAGCATAGGTGATGGTGTGCCATCTTTCTAGTGTGATGACCGTGAGGGTATAGACGGAAAGTTCACTTGCAAATACAGTGAAAAAGCCAGCAGCACTACACCCACTTCCTGTCTGCCAGTCTATGGCGTGGTTATAATACTGCCCCTTGGTTTGGGAATCAACTGAGGCAATGAGCAGCAGATAGAGCCCCATGCAAAAGTCTGCAAAGGAGAGATTACACATGAGAAAACGGGGCACTGTCAGTTTATAACGACTGGTCAGGAGAACAAAGAGGACAGTCACGTTTCCCATGATGGCTAGGATATTAATCAGCCAAATCAGGACCCTGAGGAAGTCATTGCCCATGATATCTTCACAGGGATTAAAAGCATCTGGTTCAGGAGCACATTGGAGTGTCTTGGGTGAGCAGAAACCATAGTCATAATCCCAGCCACTCAGTTCACTCTCAGCAAAGATGGCGGAATAACTGTAAGAAGAATATTTAGGCTCAATGTACAGAGATTTTCAGTGATTCTGATTTTTTTTTTAAAAACTCAACCATCCTTAGTGTTTTTTTAAAGCCTAAGAAACTAAAGGAAACAAAGCCTCAACAGTCTCAATCTTACATTTATTTGTTAAATTAGCTGAGAACTCTGAATTGATGTAGGAGTTTTTAAAGAAGGGAATAAAAAACCGTTTAGACTCTTTTATATATGGATTTTATACATTGATGCAAAGACTTAATGAAGCTGTTTGCAGAGCATGATTTTCTTTGGAAAGCAAATTTAGAGACATAATATATGCTTGTTAAATCGAAAAGAATCCTTTCTTGGCACTTTCTTAGCTATTTATCTCATTTAGTTGCCAACCAAAATGCTATCAAGCTGTTTGTGGTCGAACACAAATGGGATTGGAAAGCTCTCGTTGAAGATAGTGGGCTACTGGTGGGCTTGCTTGCACTTAAGTCCCTGCTGACCAAATAGTCCAGCTGAGAAACGGAAACCAAGGATAGATTACTAGAAATATAGAAGCAGAGGAAGAATATAGTCATGGACAGTAGGAAGAAATGGTGAAAACTGATACTCCTTAGGGGTGTAAATCAAATTCAGAGAGCAGACTGAAGAGAGACAATGTCCCTGGTGAAGGACAGCTCCACCTCTGCCAACCCCACTGCTACTGTTTGAGTTCAGGTTTTAATTCTCTCTTAAGGTACAGTTACGTTTGTCTTCTTACTGGCATCCTTCCTCTAATTTTAGCTGTCTCCCGGTGGTCCATCCACACCTTCCTCCTGGAATAGCCTTTCTTTCTTTCTTTCTTTCTTTTTTTTTTAGCTGAGCCATCCTGCCACCTGTTGGCAGCTGTTCGCAGCTCAGGCCAGGAATCGAATCGGCGACACTGTTGCTCAGAGCTCACACTCTGGAGCGAGCTCTTAACCAACCGAGCCACTCGGCTGGCCCTGGAATAGCCTTTCTTAAACACAAATCTGTGAGTTCAGACTTTCCCTAGGTTCTCATTAGCTATGGGATAAAATCCAGACCCCTTGTGATGACCTCCAAGTCCCTCCCTGATCTGGGTTCTTCCTCCTTTGATAGTCTGTCTGGTCTCCAGGAAGCAGTAGTGCTACATAATTCAGAGCATGGGCTCTGGAGGAAGACTGCCCGGGTTCCAGTCTTTACAGGCTGTGTAAACCAGGAGAGTTACTTAACATTTTTGTGTCTCAAGTTCTTCATTTGCCAAACTGGGATAACAATCATACCATTCTTGGTAGGGTTGTGCTAAGGATGAAATGCATCAACACATGTAGAATGTTTAGAATAATGCCTGACATGTATTAAGTGCGCAGCGAATGTTAGGGATTCTTATAATTATCTTGCACATCCCTTGTGCAATCTTCCTTTTGGTCGCTACAGACTTGAGGCTCTCAGAATCACTTCTAACGTTTCATCCCTCTGTCTTACTGCATATGCGTTGTTGCATCTTTCTTTCGTCTCCTCCTCTCTGTCATGAATTCCTCCTCATCTTTAAAGACAAGCTCCTCTGTGATCCTCTTTCTTGATTTACACCTCCTCGATGTTTGTTACTCCTTCTCTGTGCCATGGCTGCCCTTAAGTACTATTGTAATTATCAAACCATGTTGCCATTATGCGTGTCTGTCTTCTTAGATAGTTATTAGCTCCTTGAAGGCAGGGGACTAGGTTTTATTTATTTCTGAAATCTCAGCACCTCACACAGTTTTGACTCAGAGTAATCATTCAATAAATGTTTGTGGAAGGAATAAACCAGAGTGATTCCGGCTCTGAGGGGAACTGAGGGGATATGGGGACAATGATTGTATACAGTATGATGCATGTAGGCACATCCAATTTTCTCTTTGCCCACAGTTTGCTACTGTAATCTTGGGAGCTGGAGAATTGGGCATAATTTTTTTCTGCAGGGCCATTACAAATAAGCATTTCACCTGAGGGTTCCTAACACATTAAAATAATATTTTTCTCTACTCTCAAAACTTAGCTTCTCATGTGCTGTATAAGGAAGTGTGTATCTAATTCAGTGAGTGGATGAAATGATAGATTTGAGCAATACCATTACTGAAGCGAAAGAACACAGATTAAAAAAAAAGAAGAAAAAGAAATCTATGACTTGGGACTCCAAAAAGGTGCTAGAATATCGTAGAAACCCATTTGGAACTAGAGAAGGACTCCTGCTATGCACGGGAGAGTGCCAGGGAACCTCACCTGTTTTATTATTAAATATAAGTAGCACATTTGTTTGTCCTCATCTCATGCACATCAATATAATTACCTATTTTTTAATTTTTGAAGAGAGACGGTGGTTATAAAGAACGGTTAAAGAAAATAGGTTATTTCTCAGCATTGGAAAGGTCCTTAAGACCATCTCATTGAACTCCTCATTTTACTGGTCAGGAAACCACGATTAAAGGAGGGGAGTGACCTGCCTGAGATTCCTCAGCACTAGGCTCTAGTGGCAGCACTAGGTTGTCGTACCCATTGTCCAGAGGCCTCTCTTCTACTTCACTGTCTCTCAGTCAGTGTTTTTCAACGTGTGGTCCTTGAACCACTTCCATCAGAATCTCCAGGGCGTTTGCAAAATGTAGATTCCTGGCTTTACTTCAAATCCTGAATCAAACTGTCTAGGGACAGAGCCCAGGAATCTACATTTTAAGCAAGGTCCCTGGACGATGCCTGCAAAATAACAGCCTTTATTAAACCAGGTGAAAACTTTCCAACAATTGCTGCCTTCATTTTCCTTTTTCCTTTCCTCTTATCAAAACTACTTCAGCTGCTAGAAGCACTAATTCAAAAGCTTCTAAAAATTCTGCCATGAATTCTGAATAAATTTGTGTCAATAAGAGGTCAACCCTATTCCCTCCCCTGTCCTTTGCCCTTTCTTTTCATGCGCTACTGGGCATCCGTCTAGCAATTTTCTCCTTGGTGATTTGTCTGCAGACCAAATACCTACCTGCTGCTCCTTACCTTTGTGTCCTGGGATGACTCCTGAGGGCAGCAGCATGCTTACTGACAAAACCCAGCACGGAGCTGTTGCCAGTACTGACGGCTTATGCAGGGAATGTGAATGGATGCATAGGCTTAGCAACACTGAGTCAGAGGGAGGAGAAAGCAGTGCACCCCTGCTTCAGTCACAGTGAACAAAGAAAGGAGAAAAGATGGGCATTTTAGGAGAACAGTGAGGCCAGCCATAGCAGTATGGACACCATGATATCTTGGGGAGAGCAGGCAAGGCTTAGGGGCTGGCTCTAGAATTTCTCAACTCTAGGGACTTAGGAATAGCAGTCTGCTGGGAAGAGGAGGAAGGGGATTTATCATAAGAAATGTTTTTGCTGGAAGCACACCCTTCTAACTTAGATTATGTATTCATTTCAGGTAGTTTTGGGGATACTGGAGATAAGGGGACTTGTTTTAAGGCCGTGTTAGCCTAGCAAACTTGACATTGTGTGCTCATTTGGGAAGGCTTATTATGGTGGGGGCTAATGAGGATTATTGAGAGTGAGCTAGTCTCCACTCCCCAGAACCACCCCTTGGTGCTGCCATTGTACCCAGCAGTGGTTTCCTGTTGACGACAGAAAAGGCCATATGGTTGCAAAAGAGTTAAGTGGAAGGTGACCGATGGAGAGAATATCGAGAGGAGTGGGAAGGGTGAGGAAAAGGAACACTGGAGGCTAGATGGTGACAGACCTAATTAAAAGAAAAAGCAAAGAAGGATACAGAGTATAATATTTATAATGTACCCTAGATCCTGTCACAGTCTTCAACAACTCCCTTCCCTGTCATAGTTCTGAAAGCCAAATGATATTTCTGCTGTCCCTTACAGATGAGGGAAAAAGACTCAAAAAAGATAAGTATTGTCCAGGGGTACCCAGTGTTACAGGAACACTATTGCCAAAGATTCATATCCAACTCTGAGAAGCAAAGAAGCCCAGGGTCCTTCCATCGTGCTAGCCTACTGCTGGCCTCTATAGAACTTGTGGATTGATAGCGGGGGGGAAAAGAGAAAAGAAAAAAGGTGTAGAAGAGGGAATGGAGATTGGCAAGGTATCTTAGAAGGGCATCTGGCTTTGTAGCCTGAAGGATACATGGGGGGAATAATAAGACTTCTAAATCGCAGTAAAGGTGGCATGGGGATCCTGGGGTTATATTTCGGGGCATTCTCTTTTACATTTGAAGGTGTGGGAAATGCCAAGGCAGCCAGGAAAAATGTTTTAAAAAATCAGTAGAAAGGAAACATAGCTTCCATCTAGTATGTGTTACTGATAGCGTTAAGGCTGAGTAATTTTATGCTCCAGCACAGCGTGGTCAAGGTGCAGTAAGTCTCTTTGAAGGAAGTGGTTCCTTCTGGAAGTTGTGTCTACCATCCATCAGCTAATCTTTGTGGAATGCTGACCATGTGACTAGTGAAAATTCCTACAAATGAAGCTGTCATTCAAGCAATCCCTTAGTGACATCAAAATACTTGCAAGTAAAATTTTAATTTCTGAGGAGAATTTAATTAATTGTAGAATGAACATGTAGGTACTTTTTAAGAGAGTTTTTTTTTAAATAGTTGAGTGAGATACCTGATCAACTGGAGGCCACTTACACAGAAAAGTTCCCATTTTAAAGCGATTAAAAATGCTGTGCAAATATCCCCCCAACCAAGACTTTTATCAAAAGAAAATTGTGGACACTGGTAATAATAATAGGGGGCACACAGAATGAGATATGGCTTCCTGAGTTCCTTTGCATACAGATACTTACAGTGTTTCATTATTTGGTTTCCTTGCTGTGCTTTCACATTGTTTGGAAAAGTTTTCAAAAATGGAAAAGGAAAAATTCTGCCTGAAAGAGAAGAGGTGGGGGGGAAAAAACAGTTGAGCTTTTGGTCTTTAAACTAAATCTGATCATGTCTATTTATACTTTGTTCATCCAAATGCTTTACCTATTCCACCAGCTTCGTGTTCTGCACCATTGTCCTAACTGAAGCACTTCCTGGAGAGAGAGTAAAGGCGTCTGAATTGTCATTAGAGTGCTTCCAGCTTAGATAAAATGCTTCTGAATGCTAAGTGTTGTGTGTGAGCTCTAGAGATGAGAAAACTTAAATTTGTCACATTGAGTCACAGAGTTTTCAATGCTCATTAAAATCTACCTTTGTGGTATGCGAAGGTGTGCTCCTCTCTACTCTCCTTACCACATTGACCTTGACGAACAAATAACCCTCCCGAGTTCATGGCTTTGAATTGTAACTGGGGATCTCTTTTGTAAGGATTTGAAGATATTGGACCTGACATCATTATGTGGATTCTCTGCCTTTTTTAGTTACATGCAGGAATATATGTGGGGGATCCCTCTTCCTTCATCTTTCTCTTTAAGAAGTTTAGCCAATAGAAAGGGGGTGAGGGGAATGGCAAGGAATTAAAAGAAGGCCTGTACTTATGTTTCCTACAATGAAACCAAAGGGAGGAACAAAGAAAAAGTGGATGAAGAAATAGAAAGGACAATAGGCTGTGAGAACCTCAACCTTTCCTAAGGAGGAAGGAGAAATGAGGCATTCCAAACTAGATATTTCTATATATTCTTCTTTCCCAATATTAACAAGACAATTCCTTGTAGGAATGACTTTGTATAAAAGCAGGAAGGTGAAGAACATATCAGAACTATTAGACCTACTGGACTCACTTTAAAAAATTAATCAGCTTGTTATTTTGGATGAGGATTACACATCCTCAAATTTGGATGAAATTGTGTGTGTGTGTGTGTGTGTGTGAGTGAGTGAGAGAGAGAGAGAGAGAGAGAGAGAGAGAGAGAGAGAGACACGCTGGCTCTAATCCTACATGTAGAGATTCTGTGTGACCAATCTGCAGTTAACATGAAATGTGGTTGTTCTTGGCCTTCAGATAATAGCACTGGGTTCTGTCTACTCAATCTGTTTTGAAATTTTAATCACAGATACCAAGGAGGTCTTGGGGCCACCTGCCCAGGCAGCTGTGAGTGTTATCCAGACTCAGCAGCTGCAGGGCAGAGCGGTGACTCAGAGTTTGCACTAACATTCCACTGGCCCAACTTCAGGCTGTCCTTCCTCACTAGCATCCAAGGTTTCGAGCTTTAGGTGTATGGAAGGAGTCAATCAGAGCTTGTAATCCCAGTCAAGACAACATTTGTGTGGCTACATTCCCACCACACTTTGATACTGGCCCACAGTTGTCTAATCCTTCCCCACTTGTTACCTAGCTTCTTTCATCTAATGAAATAAAAACCCCTGAACTAAACTATTTACATGCCAGTAATTTCAGGAGGGATGTGACTGTTTTGCCATAAAGGTGGTGTCCAGAGTCAACTTTATCATAAATCAGTGTCTGTATTGTTCTTTTAGTTGGTCTCTCACCAGCTTTGCTCACTTCCAACCCATCCTCCATCCTGCTGCCAGGGTGATATTTTACAAAAGCAAATGTGAGAAGTTTTGCTTTGAATTCTTCAGTGGCTTCCCATCCTCTAAATGACTTGGCCTGGCACTCAGAGCCCACTGAGGACCCCCTCCCCCTGGTTTCCTCTCCTCACTCACCTTCCTCCATGTACCCAGAAGTCTTCTTGTCCTAGTTTTTCTGAATGACTTTCATCCTACTGTCTCTTGCCTTTGTGCCTTCACGAGAACTATTTTGGTTTTTTGGTGTGCTTCCCCCCACACCTGTCTAGCCAACTCCTTCCTGTTCTTCAAGGCTCAGCAGAAGCCACCTCCTCAGAAAGCTTTCCCTAAGCCCTGCTGTCATTTAGGAACTCTTCCTCAGTGCTCCCAGAGCACTCCCGTTCTCTGCTCTAGCATAACATTGTTGTTTTGTACATAAACATTGGCTCTCTTGCGTGTTAGCCCCATACAGCTGTTTGTGACTCTGTGAGGGCTGGGAGAGCTCTTACTCAGCTGTGTATCTTCAGACATTTGCACAGTGTTTGGAACATGGCAAATGCTCAATTAATGTTCTTTGAAGCTCAGTTAATGGTTCATAGCTCTCTAACCACAGTGAGTGATTTGTCTTCTGGTTACCTCCAAAGATTCAGATACAAACAAACATCAAGTGCTGGCGAGGATGTGGAGAAAAGGGAACTCCTGTGCACTGCAGGTGGGATTGTAAATTGGTGCAGCCACTATGGAAAACAGTATGGAGGTTCCTATAAAAATTAAAACTAGAACTACCTTATGATCCAGCAATTCCACTTCCGGAATGGCAACATTATTTACAATCGTCAAGATATAAAAGCAACCTATATGTCCATTGATAGATGAATAGATAAAGAAGATATGATACACACACACACACACACACAAATGGAATATTAATGATAAAAAGAATGAAATCTTGCGATTTGTGACAACATGGATGGACTTAGAGGGTATTATGCTAAGTGGAATAAGTCAGACAGAGAAAGACAAATACCATATGATTTCACTTATATGTGGACTCTAAAAAAACAAATGAACAAACAAAACAAAACAGAAACAGATCCACTGATACAGAGAATAAGCTGATGGTTGCCAAAGGGGAGGGGGATGAAGGGATGGAGGAAAAAGGTGAAGGGGAATAAGAGGTACAAACTTCCACTTATAAAATAAGGCACAAGGATGCAGTGTATAGCACAGAGACTATAGTCAATAATATCGTAATAACTTTGTACGGGGACAGATGGCTACTAGACTAAGTGTGGCGATCACATCGTAAGATATAGAAATGTCAAATCACTATATTGTACACCTAAAACTAATATGTCAACTTTAATAATAAAAACTAAGCCTCAGATAGAACTGCACATACCTCTGCAGGGCAGAAAGTAGGTGTCCAATAATACATGCTGGTTGATTAATTATAAATAGGTTCATTCCAAACAGACAGCAGCATCCTAGTGTCACTCTCTCAATGCCTCATCTAATTAATTGATTGAGAATATCTTTGTAGGCTGCATAATATCCCTTTAGGACAATGTTTTTCCACCTGTGAGTTGTGACCCATTAGTAAGTCATGAAAACAATAGAGTACCTCAAGACGAGCATTAAAAGCAAAGAAACAAACACGAAGTAAAATAGAGTAAAATACACAAGAAAACATCAGTGTAGCACGTGTAAAAAGTTAAGTATTGCTTTTATTTCAGTTACATGTGTGATGTGTACTGAACTGCAATGTCAAAAAGGTATTTCTTACTATGCATCTCAGTCAAAAAAAAAAAAAAAGTCCGGAAAACAGTGCTTTAAGGAAAGAATGAAGTCCTGCATACTCAGCCATTTCATTCTGGATTGAAGTGAACCAGTTGAATCAGTAAGATGCCCCTCACTGGACACAAACCAGCCAGGAGCTTTTGCCCTTTTTGTTTCTACACCAAGCTAATCCTTAGGGAGCTAGGATTCTGTTATGAAATGGAGGATGATTCTGCAGGAAGAGAAATAGCTTAAACAAAAACGAAAACCTTCAGTAGTGTTTTGTGTCTGTTTTTTGTTTTTTAAATTAAATATTAAGACATTAGGTAAAATTTACCCTCTTGAGGCCACTTCCCTCACTGCTTTAAAAATGATGCTCTCTGATAAGGATTAGAGCTAATTGATCTTTGAGAGGCCAGTTTTATACTCCATTTTGCAGCTGCTGTTATAGCCTAATTTAAGGCTATGATTCAATTAGCCTAAAAGAGGGTATAAAGATCTTTTAGCTGCAGGCTGCATTGACTGTTTGGAATCGGTTTTCAGGAGGAAACAGGATGGTTCATTTTCTTCTAGTATGTGTGAAAGTGACCCCGTGTCTATGGAGTTGGCCTAGAAGGGGCAGGGAACCGGTGACCAGTTGACTATTTTGATATCTGGGTTTCTAAGACAGCTTGGCAGGCTTACCTTTTGTTTTTTACTTACTCTTTGGTTGGCAAGTTTCTGAAAGCACAGCAGTGGCTGGGATAAGTCAGTGTAGCATCCAGGAGGTTGGTAAATTGTTCTCTCGATGGCAATATTTTTAGAGAATAGGATGATGTGGCTATTAGCGTATGAATGGATTCCAGCCCATAGGTAGGCAGAGCCTGCAGTCTGGTGGAAGAAATATCCCTGAAGAATAAAAGGGAGAAAGGCTTTTTATTTACTTATTATACATTTGATTTATAAAATGAAACCTCTTCTGAACAACGGTATCATTCTAGGTTCTGAGGAATCCTTTCTCCCTCTTGTCTTTCCCCTAATTTTCCATTTCATGCTCATTGAGACCTAAATGCAGAAAAGCTATGCTGTGGTTTTTTTTCCCCTCATAAGGATCCCATTATTCTTTTCAAGGTTGAGTATAACTCCGTGTACCTGCCATGCATCCATTAGCATTCCCCTCTCTCTTCTCCCCATTCCTTTCTCCCTCTCCCCTTCCCGGGACCTCTTTCCACTTAGCAGAAGTGAAAGAACTACCTGCTTTCTGAGACAGCAGGACACACGCAGTGACATCAGCTTTAGTGATCTACCCCGGGAGGAGACACTCAGTGCTTCAGACGCCTTGGTCTTGGATTGATCAAGCCCCGCAGGGTAGGCTTTCATGAAGCAGCTGCTCACGCTATTACGAGCTGCTGTGTGGTGTTGGCCATCGTCTCCCCGGAACGCAGAATGCACGTTCTCTAAAGGCAGACCTGCATTCATCAGTCGGAAGCGCAAACTCGGCCATGCCAGCAGAGCTGCGTGGAAAGCTCAGGTTTGGGAAACGGGGTCCTGAACTCCAATGTCCAAGAAAACTCCAAGCAAGTTAGATGTGAGGAAGAAGAGCAGTCAGTGGGAATTTAAAAATCCAGCCTGTTTTCTAAGTGGCTGCGGCTGATGCCCCATGAAACACTTCCAGCAACAGATGCGCCTTCTCCACACCCCCAGCAAACTGCCCAACACTTAGTGCTCAGCATATGGGAGGGGATAGCAGGTGATTGGTAGACAGATAAACTTGACAATTTTTCCCACATGTACTTACACTGAACTCCCATAATCGAGGGAACTTGGCTCCGCTCCTGGTACCCTCAGAGAGCCTAACACACAGCAACTTGGCCCTATCCAGCCAAATGCCGGGGCAAGTCAGATCTGTGGCTTCGAATGCCACGAGTGGATGCCAGGTGGGCAGCCACCCCCTCTTCCAGCACACGAGGCGGCCCTCCATATTTAATGTTATATGTTCAATTGTGTCTCCTCAGATCCATATGTTGAAGTCCCAGCCCCCAGTGGCTCAGAACGTGACCTTATTTGGAAATAGGGTCTCTACAGAGGAGATCTAAGATGAGCTCATTAGGAGGGGCCTTGATCCAGTATGACTGGTGTCCTTATATAAAGAGGGACAATTGGACATAGACACACACACACACAGACACAGACACACACACACACACACACACACTGCTATGTGAAGATGGGAGTTATATTACCACAACAAGAATGAACTACCAGGAGCAAGAAGAAAGGCCTGGAACACACCCGTCCCTCACAGCCCTCAGAAGGAACCGACCCCGCTGACACCTTGACATTAGACTTCTAGGCTCCTAAACGGAGACAGTAAATTTCTGTTGTTTAAGGGCCCCTTCCCCCCAATTTGTGGAGCTTTGTTATGGAAGCCGTTTCACATGCAGAGGCCAATGCCCCTCAAACCAGGCTGGGGACAATGTGGCTAGAAGCCCTAAGCAGGCATGTTGGGGTGCGCTGGTTGGGGAGGGAGGCAGCACCATTGTACTCACAAGATGCTAGGCCCCGTGGCCCCCCAGAAGGCTCCCTGGTGCATCTTCTCCAGGTGCGCATTTTCCTTTAGCTCCCTGTGGGGAAGCACAGCGTGCTTAGTAGGGTTTGCACCTCCTGTGTCACCAGTCACAGCTCTGCACACACATGCTTGGACTGGTCTCTGTGCATGGGGCTCAGGGTCAGAGGGCACCAGGGGGACTGCAGGTAAAGTGGGGAAAGGACGTGTTAGTGCTCAGTGACATCGTGAAATTGCTGAAGTGCATGTGTGGCCCCACCTTTCCTCTGTGACTTCCCCCTACTCCGCGGAGCCCTTTGTCCTACAGCTTAAAGCACTCCCCGTCCTGCCCAGGAGTGATGGAGATTTACTATCAGACAGCTGGGCCAGGATGGAAATGCTGCTGCAGTGCTCAAGGCTGCAGGGTGGGAGAGCAGCCCGCCCTGCGTCAAGGCTCTCCGCTGTCCTGACCTTGGAGGTCTCAGGGTCTGTTTACAGTGATAGCCCAAGGCTTGCAAATACTGCACTTAAAACAAAAAAGTAGGGCCCATTCAAAGTTACCCCTCTCATGGTGTTAATTGCACTCCTTTTTGGATACGCATTTCTCAGTGGGTGAGACGGGAGGAAGTACAGCCCGTGTAGATGATTGTCCCATACCCTGGGTGCCCCGTAGGTCTGTGCTAAGTGTGTGATCATCGCCAGGTGTGGGTGTTGTGGAAACCAGAGGGCCGAGGGCCACTGCTCTTATGGCCGTGACAGAAGCCCCAAGCTGCTACCGCAGAGGCTACCTGCGGACTTCTGCTCCCTTGAGTTCAGAGCAGCTCAGCCTGACCCTCTAGAGCAGCTTCTGATCTGGGCCCTGACTCTGGTGTCTCCAAGCACTGGCCTTTCCCTGGGCGGACAAGGGAGCTGGGAGAGGACTCCTGGGCTCAGGCTTGCCAGCCTTCTTTTCAGCACGTTCTTCCTATGAGAGAAGGGCGGTAACTCCAAGAACATTCTGGAAACCGTGGACAGTGGGCACGGTATACATCCATTGTTGGTGTGATGGTTTCCAGCATGGGAACAGGTTTCTTCTGCACCACAGCAGCGATGTTTACATGGCAAAACAGATGCACCAACACCCACGCCCTCTCCCTGGCAGGGTGCCTCGGTAATTACCTGGCTCATCTCTTAGCATTAGGCTTCTTCAGGGTTTTTCAGCATGTCTGCATATCGCACCTGCTATTTAAAAACTGCCGAAGCCCTTGCAACCCCCCCCCCCCTTCGCTGGGTGGCTCTTTCCCACATGCTTCTACTAAGCATCTTCCTTGGAATCCCTCAGCCTTTGCATCAGAATGCGCCATCGTCCCCTGGGTGTATTTCCACCATCAAGGAGATGAGGTTGTCAGAGTCAACTGCTGTTTAAAATCTAAATCTAAAGAAAATTTCCTTCCCAAGCCTCCGTGGCTCTTCTTCCTGATTCGGTTTGTCCTAATTATGTTCAGTTCTGGTCATAAATCATTGAAACTGGGCTCTGTGAGCAAATCATCCTCATGTTAGCCAGGTCAAATTAACTTTTCAAATTTTTGACAGTTTTATTTCGCATGTTTCATTAAAACTCAGATCTTTCTGTATCCTGATGACTCTGTATTATGTGGCTTGGTTAAAAAATAAGTGAAATTCGTCGATCACATTTTCCTGGGGGTCACTTTTGGGAACTCTCCCAAGTGACACGGTCCTCCAGGTGTGAGAAGCACAGGCAGGATGACCATTTGAAGCACAGTGGGAGAACCCCCAAACTGCACCCAGAGCTTCCCTAACTAGGGTGCTGTGGGAATGACCGGGACCGACTCTTAGACCCCTGGAGGTGTCTGAGGACAGCCTTTCGGTGCTTACTCCACCGTGTCCTGCCTTGGTAAGGAATGTGTTTGAGAACTTTGCAGAGCTTTGGTGTCATTGTTCTGGACAGCTCTGGCCAGGCCTGTTTTATGAGGAAGGTGCAGACACTGGGTTGAATGTAGCATTTGGAAATTTGGCTTGACAGTTTTGAAAACTCCCCTCCTTCCCTGCTTAAATCCTTCAGTGGGTCTCCTTGCCCTTAGAAGAGCATTCAGACTCTTTTCCACGGCCCCTCAGTTTGGTGTGGTTCATTCCTGCTCCACGTCCAAGTTTTTCTAACACCCTTCTTCCCTTTGTTGATGACCCTCCAGCCACACTGGCCTCCTCTCAGTTCCTGGAGCTTTCAACTTCTTTTCTTTCCCAACTCAGGACCTTTACACATGCTGCTCCTTCTTTCCGTAGCACACTTCCCCTCCCTGTTGCCAAGGTGAGCTCCTTGTTATCATTTAGGTTCAGCCTAAACATCATATGCTCTGGGGGGCTATCCCAAGCACCTAACCTAAGGCCAGTCACCTCCCTGCACTCTCGCAGATCTCAGTGATGGGTTGTTTCTTTTACAGTATATATCACTACCTGCAAGAAATTCATTATTTGCCTTTTCATCTGTCTCTTTGCCAGAACAGAAATTTCATGAGGGCAGAGACTGTTTCTATTCTACCATTGCAGACCCATTTAATATAGTGCCTAATATATTGGTGATGCTTAATACATGTTTATTGAATGAGTAAATGAATGAAATTGATTTGTGTTCTTCGTTTCCTCTTTCTTGCAACAACAAGGTGTAGGGATATAGAATCTTGACTAACTGGACTTTGGGAGGTCCATACCCATTTGGTATCTCTAAAGCAGCTGACGCTGCTCATGGAGGCTCTCCCTCCTAAAGTCCTGTTTTCCCTGACGTCCCAAGGATGGACTCCACTGATTTTCCTTCTGCTTCCCTTTGCTTTTGCTCTGACTTCTCTTCCTCACTTCCTGTTTTCCCCAATTTGATATTCAGTCCTCTTATTTTTCCTCCAGCTGCAGAGGACTTTAGCTGCCCCCTCTATCCGGATAACCCTGATGTCTGTATCTCTAGCTCTGAACTGCCCTTTCCAATTCTTTGTCCTCCCTGCTAACAGATGAACCTTCCTGAAGCACCCGTCTCACACTTCCCATCCCAGAACTTTCAACAGCATTTTATTTTCTACAGAAGAGAGTCCGGATTCTTTACTCTGGCATCTAAGGCCCTTCTGGCTTTGTCCTTAACCCGCAGCTATTGGGTTATCGGAAAAGTCATGACGCATGTTTGTGACAGATGGCACTAGTTCATTTTGGAAGTAGTAGAGTCATTCACATCTATGTTATTGCTATGTCATTTGACAGCTGACAGTTCTAGCTTCATTCTAAAAAAAATTGAGCGATTTGGCTGAGTTTTGGAGATTGTACAACAAGTTGAAGATGAAAGACCAAACTGTGCATTTTTGCCATATTTTACTGTTTTACTTCCATAAAGGGAAAAACATGCATCAAGCTTGTGAAAAGTTGCATACAGTTTACGGTGACAATGCTCTACAAGAACGTCAGTGCCAACGATGGTACACGAAATTCCGTGCTGGTGAATTTGATCTCAACGATGCTCCTCAGTCAGGGAGGCCCACTGAGGTTGACGTTGACAAAATAAAGGCACTGATCAAGTCAAACCCATGTTACAGGACATGAGAGATTGGAGAATCACTGAACATCCATCATTCAAGCGTTCATGACCACCTGAAAAAGCTGGGATACGGAAGCAATCTCAATATTTGGGTTCTGCATCAACTCAAAGAAGTTCATTTGACAGCATGTATAAATATCTGCAATATGCTCATTAAATGTGAGGAAAATGATCTTTTTCTTGAAGCGGCTGATAACTGGTGATGATAAGTGGATTGTTTACAATAATGTGGTGCACAAACGGTCTTGGTCCCAACGTGATGATTCACCTCAAATGACATCGAAAGCAGACATTCATCAGAGGAAGGTTATGCTCTCAGTGTGGTGGGATTTTAAAGGTGTGTTATTCGAGCTCCTACCAAGGAACCAAACAATCAATTCAAATGTGTACTTTCAGCAATTGGACAGTTTGAACGAATCCATCATCCAGAAACGTCCAGAGCTTGTTAATTGTGAAGGAGTTGTGTTCCATTATGACAATGCGAGACCACACACAAGTTTCATCACCCATCAAAAATTATTGGAGCTTGGATGGGATGTGTTGCCACACCCACCATACTAGCCTGGCCTTGAGCTGCCAGACTTCCACTCGTTTTGCTCTCTTCAAAACTCCTTGCATGGTATAACGTTCAATTCATATGAGGCTGTAAATCAGCACCTTGTTCAGTTTTTCCCAAATAAAGACAGGTCCTTCTATGAACGAGGAATTATGAAGCTCACTGAAAGATGGCAAAAGGTTGTCGAACAAAATGGGCAATATAACATTGATTGATCTTTGTTCTTTATATAAATAAATGATGTTTGAAAAACATAGACAAAATACGTTGTGACTTTTCCTACAACCAAATACAATGTTCTAAAAGGTACTATTTGCTGGTCTACGAACACATCTCACGTTTCCTCCACTGGGCCATTCAGTCTTCATGTTGTCCTCTGCCCAGAATACATTTTCCTTTTGTCTTTGCCTAAATTGGGCCTGCTTGAAAAGTCTACCTCTCCCACAAGGCTTTCTCTGATTTCCTTCTCTCCTGCTTTTGAATCCCCGAAGGACTTCCCTCTCTCAGGCCAGGCGTCATGCTTTGTCTTCTTAGTTACTACTTAGTGTACAGTTTCTATTCCATTTGGAGATGCTTCTTCCTAGGCTGTAAGCTCCTGCGGGAAGAACGCCAGGGATCGTTCACGTTCATTTCCCCTCAGAATACAGCATGATCCTTCAAACACAGCAGATGTTTGGCAAACACTTGTTGACTCAATGATGGCATGAGGCACCTGAGAGTACTGTGCTGGGAGAGGCTATGGCTCTGATTTAAATTTGGGCAAAATAGATTCAGTTGGTGAGAGTAAACCCTTCATTACATTCAAGTCAACAAGAAAACAAGGGAAAATTGACTCCATGACAGGGAGCACAACTGTTAAAAAGCTATCATTTCTTGAGCACTTAGCATGTGCCAGACCCATGCTGAAAGCATAAAAATCTCATCGTATTTAATTGCTGTTTATTCACTCATAATTAACTACATAATGTCATAAATAATAAATGAGCACCTACTCTGTGCCAAGCACCGAGGACACAAAACAGACCTTTTCATTTTGGTGGGGGTGTCCTCAGAACAAGTCTATTAGTGACTCCATTTTATGAATGAGAATATTGTGGCTTATCATACAATAGAAAAGTAACTTCCTCAAGGTAGCTGAGAAATAGTGGGATTGAAGATAGAGTCCTTAGATCTGTTCCCTTGGCCACTGAGCTGTATAGCGTGGTATCAGTATGATAGGGTCTTTGGTTCATATCTATAGTTAAGGTAAATAGAATGTTGTACATATAGATTTATGCCACTCAACTTCAGACGGGCAGCATCAGCATCTCCTGGGAGCTTGTTAAAATTACAAATTCTCAGTCCTTACCTCTGGGGTGGGGACCAGGAATCTCTTTTGACAATCTCCACGTTATGCTTATGTGCGTTAAAGTCTGAGAAACACCAGTGTAGATCATGGTTTATGTGACCTATTCATTATAAAGGCCCTTTTGTTTGTTTGTTTTACTTAATTTTGGCTTCAGTTGAGCTTTGCGTGTGCTCTTAGTTTTTATGATACACAACTGTAGTGTGATCATCATGTCACTTTGTACGTGTTATGGTTCAAACAGCCCTTGCTCCGGAAGCTTTGTGAATGAACCACTCTTATAGAAAAGGAACCAGAGAAAGAAAGAGAGGTTGAGAACAATGAAGGAAACAGTTGGGATGCTCCCCTTGAGTTAAAGGCTATTGGCGCTAGGGACTGGAATAGGGTGTGGTGGAAATGCAAGGCTCCCCTACCCTGAGGAAAATGAGCAACCTAACCCCCCACCTCACCCCAGCAGTAGGGAGATGGGACTGTGAGTGGGTCTGTTGTGGCTGATTAGCTGGTAAATGGTGTTGCTCAATTTCTCTGCAGTGGGACCAAGGGGAAGAATTTCTTTGCTGAAATCGTCTGCCTCTAACACACCCTCAACCTGAGTAAGGGCCTAGAGAGGGAGGCCGTGAGATGGAGGAGCCTAACATAGGGTGTTGAATATTTCAGCAAACTGTCAACTTCAATGTATCCAGGCTGCATCTCTCTTTGAAATCAGGGTGCTCTGGGGTTTCCAGCCAGCCAGTTGCCTAGTAACATGCATGAAACACTGAGGACTAGCCACTTGAAAGTTTATTTTTGTCCTGAGTTAGTTGCTGAAGATTGAATGTGATCTGGTAGCCAGAGTAATATTTCATTTTTATTCATGAGCTGGGAAAATAAGCATACTTACAGGGAAATCAGTGTCGTCCCGTTGAACGCATGGCTTTGTATGTCTTCAAATCCATTTCCATATAATTTGCTGAAGAGGGAAGAGAGAGGGTTTAGGAACAAAAGAAACACAGTTTGGAATCACACATTCTTTCTCCTGTGACATTTATTACTAATATAATTACTGGCGTTCACAATATCTAGTTCTGTTTCTCTAACATTTTAGATCCTAGGGGCCTGGTAAAACGAGGCTATTCTTTTTGCTCCAGTTTGCATCCCACCTCCACCATTACCACCTCCTAGTCTTTGTTAAATAAGGCAAGCGTGGAATGTCATTTTGTGGGGTATGTTATGTGTACGTGTGTAGTGTATATGTGTGTAATACGTTTGTATGTATGGTGTGTGTGCGCGTGCGTGCACACATGCGTGCGCATGCATGTGGTTTCCTTCCCTCAACCCAAGCACACTTGAGACAAAGTAGCCTATCGATAAATACAAGTGGGCCTCATGCTGAATCATGCTATTTGAACACTGAAATTCAGAAAATACAGAGATTACAAACTAATTCATAAAGCCTCCTTATTAGACTGAGTTCAGAGGGAGCAGGAGAGCACCTTTCCTTCTTCCATGAAACCCCTGGGCCTTTCCCAGTGCCTGCACCCTGCTCGGCCATCAGGCTGGCGTGGCAGCAGCCCCGCCCCAGCAGGAGGAGGAGCCTTCCTTGACTTCCCCTGCTCTCCTGCGCTTTCTTCTGGAATTCTTCTGAGTTTAAAGTTTCACACACTAGCTCTTAACTGTCTTCTGTAATGGATTATTGGATGTCATTTTTCAATCATTGTAGAATCTGAGGGGATAGGAACTTGGTTTATACCTGTTGTCTTACATAGTTATACATAATCTCCTCACCTCCTTAGTACTCAATCCCACTGGAATTTAAAAAAATTTTACGCTTAGAACATTATTCTTTGGCAGTATCTTGTCATGGGGGGGTGCGTGTGGCAAATTCCTTTATAGCAATCTCTTAGATGAAGGAGTCGTACCTGTCTTTTCTATGAACCTTTTTGAATTTGGATTTCTTAGAGTCTAGGCCGGTGTTTGTCAGAGCATTCTCGTCCATCCACTGAATCAGAACCACCTGGAGCTAATTGTCAGAAATTCAGAGCCAGACCTACTGACCAGCTGCCCCCAGACCTATGGAATCACACTGGTAGTGACACCTGGGGACACACACTTTTACAACAAGCTCTCCCAGGGAGCCTTGGGAATATGCCACATTGGGACTCCTTGCCCTAGGGTGATGAAGCTCTCGTCATTTCCACAGTGCAACCGAGATGGTCTGTTGGTCACAGTTGAGTCCAGAGTCTAGTTCCCTCATTGCTTTCTCTGCCTTCTAAGGGATGAAGCCACATGTATAGGTGATCAAGAAAAAGCAGTCCCTGCTCTGATTTTGGCAAAAAGATCTACCGGCTGGTGCCTGGATGCTATTCCCCATCGCTGCAATGTGCTGCCCTGATCCTAGTTTTGATACATATTAGGATTTTGTACTTTTTGTGGGGCTTAAAGTGCCAGTGCTCTAAGTGCCACCTTGTAGTTAAGTCTGCCAGCCCTGAGCCCAACTGCCTGGGCTTGAATCCCAATCTGCTACTTATGAACTGAGTTACTTTGGGCAAATTACTTAACCTCTCTGTGTCTCATTTTCCTAATCTGCAAATTGGGACGGTAATAATAATATTGACCTCAAAGGCTGTTGTGAGGATTAAAACAGTAAACATATGTTAAACACTTAGAAATAGGTTTTGGATCATAGTAAATGCTTAATGTGTTGTTCCTACTATTATTCTTATTATATTTGGCAGTGGCCTTTGCTCTCCGACCAGAACGGAGGGAAACGGTCTCCCTTGCCGTGCTCTGGGCAGAATTTCCAAGAAATGCGGCCACCTGTTTAAATGAATTCTACTGGGGTCAGGGCCTTTCTATCCCTGGGCAGAGCAGGTCGGTGCAGTGGCCTGGGCTGCCCCAAATGTACTCACTCACCGAAAGCCCTCACCCACCTTGGGTCTGTGTTGGCACCACTGACATTTTTGCATTTGGACATTGTTTTTTTCTTTGATAGCCTGGGTCCTGCTTGTACCAACTTCCCAAAGAACACAGCTCATTGTTTCCTTTTCAGCTGCTGCTCTTCATCTCTGCTCTTACCAGACTCACACAATAGAATGCACTGCATTGTTTAGATTAAAAGAGTAGCATCCTCACTCTGGAGAAATTACAAATGCAAGTGGGAGGCCTCACGCTGTCAGGCCTGCACAACGTGTTTTGCCCTTTAAAACATCTGGAGAGTCACTTCAGATAACTTCTTTCCAAAGCACCACGGTGTCAGAATTAAATAAGAAGGGCTTCCTTTGCTCTGAGGATGCTGTCACAGGTACAGAAACGAGTTTCCCCCCTCCTCTTTGCTAGTACAATAGTTGCACCTTATTTTAAAGTATTGTCTAGGTTCTCTATTCAAAGATCAGTGATTCACACAGAGAGAATGGCACCTTTTTTTCAAAATAAGATTCAGGCTTTAGAACTTAACCACGGATGACACTCTAATTCTGAATGCTGCCTTATAACAAACTCCACATATTCCTGAGGCTCCAAAAGCGTTTCTCGGGTTGTATTAACATTCTGCCATAGTTCCCTCTGGGATCATGCAGCCACCTACTTTTTGGATGATTTCAAAGAAGAAAGCTTATTTTACGTTAACAGATCCTCAGGGTCTCAGAAAGTGGCCCCCATTGCTGAAGGGCAGGGCATACTATTTTAGAATATATGCCCTGTGGTGGTATATCTATAAGCAAATTTTTATCAAACAGCTATACAAACACCATCATAAAGAAGAGGGATCCTAAATTCACTGCTATCGTCTCTGTGTGGTACTTTGCTGCAGTCCTTTTAAATCTGAATAATTGCTCATGTATAAAGACACTTCTCTCGTGGATGCCCTGGCAGTGGTTGTGTGGATAACTGTCACTGGTCACCACTCTATGCTGCCTTGACTCTAGTTTAGAATGTTCATTAGGATTCCCCCATTCCCGTGGGGCTCAAGTCTCTATGGCAAGGGGCCCCTTGCTCCGATTTGGGTATGCCTCCTGCTTTTCAGCAGCACTGGAGTTTTTATGCTTCCTTCCACCTCAGCCAAGCTCATGTCAGCTTATATGACTTGACCATATGTAATAATAAAAAGGTGACAGGCACCCAAAAGAATGATGATAGCAATGGATTATAATATATTGAATAAAATTTTTGCATATTCCATGTTCCACAGTAATCCTCAACAAGAAAGAGTGAGAGAGAGGGCAAAAGAATAAAAAAAGGAGACCTCTTTGTTGCAGAAGAGTGCTGGCTGATAAACGTAGAGGAATGAAAGACTTAAAAATTACCATTTTTGGGGCTGGCCGAGTGGCTCAGTTGGTTAAGAGCGAGCTTGCTCAAGAGTTTGAGCTCTGAGCAACAGTGGTTCGTTTCCTGGCCCGAGCTGAGCAGCCGCTGAGCTGCCAACAGGTGGCAGGATGGCTCAGCTTAATAAAAAAAAACAAACAAACCATTTTTGTAACTCCCTTTGTAATAACTGAATAAGCAACAGATGCCAAAATCATTGGACGAAAGGCTGTTGGCCAAGTGATAGTCACATAAACTCAAATTATTCCACCATAATTTACTTATTGACAAAGGAAAATATGCATCCTTACGATGAAGAGGTCTGTGTCACTACCTTAGCCAACTAGCCAAGGAGTGGGACAGTGTGAGATGACGTGACTCCTGGTTGATACATCTCTTTTGCAGTGTTCTTGCAGAAATGTTGACCTGAGTCTAGTCATGACCATATAGTCAGATGAATCCAGACAACTGGCCTGGGTTTCTCAACGTATCCAGTGTCATACAGAACAGAGGCATTCAGGGGGACAGTTCTTGGGGGGTGAGGTTGGGAGGAGTATGGACAGAACAAAAATGCATAAACTTTGGATTCTGAGTTTAAAAAATAATCTGTAAAAGACACTTTCATTTGAATATAAACTATAGGTTGGATTATATCATTATATCCATGTTGATTTTCTTAGTTTTAATGGTGCTGTAGTTATGTAGGGTGTTTTGGGGAGATGCATGCTGAAATACTTAGGTATGAAGTGTTGTGATGTCTATAAACTTTTGGATGGTTTGCAAAAAGGGAAATGTCTTGTATATACTTACATATATAGAGACGGTGTAGGTGTGACAAGCTGTTAATAGTATGTGGCTCTAGGTAAGGAACATAGGGGAGTTCACAGGACTGTCCTTTCTGTTTGTCAATGGAAAGACAAATGAAAAGTGACTGCAATTACCAGTTAAAATTTTCAAAATAAAAATATTTAAAATGAGATGACATGACACAGCATTTTCAGGATGGTCTAAGCCAACTGGCTTGCTGAATGTTAGCTTTTAATTGTGGCAGTGCAGTGTCGATGATATAATGTGATTGCATTTGCACCAGGAGGCATTAATAATCCCATTGGCTACAGAGACAGAGGCATGTTGAGTTGATGTGACTTGATGAAGGCTGGTTACGTGCAGAACCAGGACTAGAATTCAGGCTTTCTATTCCAACGCCTCACTGTCTCTCTACTGTGGCTCATCACAGATGCAGCCTGGAATCTTGTCATCCTTTGCCAGGCATCCTTTCTTTGAAAGGTCTTAGAGAATTCTTCCTTCTCATTGTGGGGTTCAGATGGGAATCAAGGTTGTCTTCTTTCTGAGACTGGTATGACCAGTCATCTAGAATATTTTGAAGGTGGTGCAGCCAAATCCTGCTTACCTGTGGGGGACATTTCAAGGTGGCCTCTTGAGGAGATTTAATGAAAATCCAAACTGCTCTAAAGGGATATGAGAGTATAATGCACAGTTTTAGCAATAGCCCACTGAGCTTCTCCAGCATCAAGTGAAGTGTTTTGTTTTCATTAAATGAGCTCACAGTTGGCACAGATTTGGGTAGAGGAAGGGCAGGAAAGCTGCCACAAAAAAGCAAAATCTCAACAATTACTAATGAAGAGAGAAGGCTTGCTTTCTTTATTTTCTAATTAGGGAGTTGAACTTTATAGCTGAGAAAATAAGGCTTTCCACTTTAAGTATAATACCCTTTTTCCAGCGGGGTGCTCCCCATGAACTTTCACTTACAGAAGGGCCCATTCAGCTGAGAACAAGTGCCAAGCAAATGACTAACCTCTCCCTTTCCAGATGAAGGGCTGAGAGTGAGGAAGGGGATAGAACCACAATGCCTTGGAGGGCTCTCTGGGAGAGATGGCTCCTCAGTCCTCATTAACTTCAGAGGTGGGGCAATGATGCCCTGCCAATAGGCGCTGTTAGCCTTAAAATCATAACTACCATAAATTAATGGTCCCCAAATAAAAACACTATGGAGTAAAATACTTGTGTGCACATGCTGAAATGGGATGTGTGAAGAGGAATCTTTGGTTGTTCCTTGAGTTTGGTGGAGTAGCCTGGTCTTGTGAGCTTGTAGAACCCTTTGGATTATCTTACAGTCCTTGCCTTGTTGATCTTCCTCCAAGTCTCCTGCCCTATCATTCCTGTTCCACTCTACACCATCACTGTGTATTTACCTGGGAGGAGTACCAATTGGTTCCTGGTTATTTTTAGATTTAGGGAGTCTTGGATTTTTGTGCTCTTTAATAAAGACTACTCTGTTGGGTGGTTTCTTCTTAGTATATTTTTCAGTGTTACTTCTAAGCCTTTAACCCTTTATCCTGGCACACAAGACCCTCTGCAATCCAGTGTCCCCTCCACGCCTTTTTATCTAAATGCAGCATTTGTCTAAACCTATTTCCCAATCCTTGAGCAGGATTTAAGCTCAGGGAATATGCCTCATCCCGTTTTCCTCCTTCCCACAGCTGTGCTTTTGCTCATGCCCTCCCCTCGCTTGGATTACTTGCTCCTCTTTTTCTGGATGAAGATGACCATGACTCTGGAGCCAGACTGTCTGGGTCTAAATCTTGACCTTGGGCAATTTAATAAACCTCTTAGTGCCTTGGTTTCCTTATCTAAAAATGGGGCTGATAGTCCCTACTTCATAGGGTTGCTGTGAGACTTAAATGAGCTTTTAAAAAAGTACTTCAAAACAGTGCAGGCATTTAATAAGTACCACATAAATATTACAGATGTTACTGATTCTGTGAGGTCTAACTCAAGTCTCAGCTCCACCATCTGGCTTCCTCTGAGTTCTCCAGCCCAAGAGGACTTCTCACTGTGGTGTATCACACACACACTCTCAACATGAATATATACTGGCTTGTATTTATTATTTTTATTATTTCATATTTTCCCCTGTTGAGATTATGAGCTACTCAAGGACATGGATCTTATATGCCTTTTGTCCCCAAATCCTAAGGCATAAAATACCCCTCTACTCAGTGTTTGCTTTATCAATACCCTGTTTCTGATGGGACACAATGGGTGAGTAGTACCAAGTCTATATGGAACAGTGAGTCAGAAACACTTATAAACATCTGGACGAGCTGTAGTGTGTGAGAGAAGTGGAGGAATAGAAAGACTATGGAAAAGTTTTTCTAGGATCTACAGCCTCCTGTCTGTGTTCAAGAGTTGCAAGTAAAGAGTTATTTTGAAATTATTTTTTTGTTTGCTGCTCTGTATTCTTTTGATTGCAACACCTTGAGCTGGGGCTCCCTTGGTCACAACTTCGTAGCATGACAATTATATGTTGTATTACACCTATACAAAGTAAAAACACTACAAGTACAGTATGCCATTGATACCAATTTTTAGGATCCATTGATATAAAAGAGAGTCCTCTGAGATGGTGTTTCCTCCTGCTTCACAACTGTTCCTCATTTCAGGGTCATCCAATTCATACTCTCTTTTTCTGTCTTTAAGGGCAAGCTCATTTATTGCCTCATCACAATCCTGCCATGGACTATAACAAAGGCAGAAAGAGGGGCCGGCCGAGTGGTTCAGTTGGTTAAGAGCTCGCTCAAGAGTTTGAGCTCTGAGCAACAGCGGTTCAATTCCCGACCTGAGCTGAGCAGCCACTGAGCTGCCAATAGGTGGCAGGATGGCTCAGCTTAAACAAAACAAAACAAAGGCAGAAAGAATGAGAAGGATATGGATGTATGGAGCAGAGCTGAATATGGGTCACTGTGCTTTGGCTAGAAATGAGACATGGTGTCCAGGATGCTGCTTCTGAATGGTATGTCAAAGGAATGTGACCCATATGTGAAGATACTGGGTATCCAAGAGGGAAGGCAGTTAGGCAGGTGTATAGTGAAGAGAATGACTTGTGTTATCGTAGTACAATACTTCTTGATCTTTAATGTGCATGTGAATCACTTGGGATCTTGCAAAAATGCAGATTCCGAGTCCGTAGGTCTGGGATAGGCCTGAGCATCTGCATTTCTAACCAGCTCTCAGAAGATACTATAGTTGCCAGTCCACAGATCATAGTTTGAATAGTAAGGCCTTAGGAAAGAGCGTGAGATGGATAGGGCCTTTGAGCCTGGTAGGCCAATGAGTGATGGTCAAATAAAAAGACATCACTTTCAGGCATGTAGGAAGTGGGCATAGATTGTGCTGCTTCAGAAACAAAGTCAGCGGGTTCCCAGGGGAAGGTGAAAAATGAGAGACAGAGGGTGTGGGAGTGAAAAATGAGAGACAGAGGGTGTGGGAGCAGGGTCCATTGATCAAGCACTCTGTCTACTTGGACCATATCCTTCCAAACTCTTCTCAGTTGAAACTTGAAATTTCTATGCCCTCTTTTAACCAGGGCAGCCATTCCCCTGCAGGCTGTCTCTTCCCAGCTTCAAAGCATTCCACTGACGCAATGAACAATTTCATCGGTTGGAAATTTGGTCACTGTAAATCCTCAGGGCCCAGTTGATTAATTTTAAACTGAATGGGTTGGTTGGTTGTCATGCAAACATATAACCCAGCTTTGATCCCACACAACTCTTCTCACCCTTGGTATTTTAGGTCAAAAAGAATGTCATCAGCGAGTGAGGGACGTGGTAAAAGATGAGAAAGAGCTCACCTTAAGTTAGAAGTGAGAGCAGCAGGAGGCTGTATGGCAGAGCGCGAATTTGGGAGTTTACTCACAGTGTTATGGATTCGTTATTCATCCCTTGAAAAGCATTTCCTGGTATGGTGGTGATGTGTAAGTTATCACAAATTTCCCTTGAGGAATGAAATGAGAAATATTTACTTTCCAAATTTCAGCTGCAAATAGGAAACTGTTGTGCATAGCAATCAGCCTGGTACTTACAGAATGAAATTAAATTCAGAGGAGAGGATCTTCGTTACATCTGGAAGCTTTCGGATGCCTGTGTTACAGATGCTCCTGGGATTTGGGGCAGGGTAGGGATGTGGGCAGAGAGGGAGTAACGGATTGTTACTAAGGCATAAAGATAAAAACACTAGAAAGGCAATTTGCAAATACTGTTTCCACATGAAATCTAAAAAATATTGAGTTTGGCTTTATCAGTCACACTTTTAGCTGTTGAAGATTGTGAGAACTTAAAAGCCCCTAACACTAGGAGAGAAGCTTCTTTAATGTTTAGAGATCTAGGGGCGGGGACCAAACTTGCAGGCCTTTTTCATCAAGGTGTATTTTTGCAGCCTGTCTTTTCCGAGCACATCAGCTGCAGTTTCCTATAGTACTGTATTCCAATTTCCTTTTGGTAATTAGTGTATGCCATGCTCTTGACAGATCTAGAAAGCATCACTCTAGAACAGGTTTTAATCTCAAACACTTCAGGAAGATTGATTTCCATGTAAGCAATCCATATCCCTCATCATTAAAAATCTTCCTTTGTTTAGCTGTCCTGTGATTCAGGAAGCTCTTCCTTGTACCTCCCTGAAATCATTAAACATGCTTTTGGCTATGTGAGCTACTCAAGGCTCCTCTTCTTTTCCTCCCACCTTTTTAAACTTCAAAGCAGAGAGAGTCCTCAGTGGTAGGTTAGATTGAAGGCTATCCCATTACATAAGAATAGGACTCCTTTAGAGGAGTCCAGGCATCTGGATTCCCCCAGCCAAGTTTTAAATTCACCAGTCGAGGACTGTGGATGACTGCTATGAACTGCCTGGCACCCTGGTGACACTGGAAGGAAGCCACATTTCTCTTTTGGCTCGCTCTGGTTCTCTTCCTTACTCGTTACCCCAGCACACCCCGAATTCTCGCCCTGTCTGTGGCTGGTGATGGCAGTGAGGGCTTAGACTGCAGAATGTTGGGGTTGAGGGAGTGTCACTTTTTTCGGGGTGTAAATGCTATTCAATAAAGACAATGACTCTTAGAGAACAAAGAGCTGCGGTTGTCAGATTTGGTTCTGGCATTTTCTTATGTTTTTCCAAAGTGGTTAATGCTGAGATCCTTATATGCTCTGTAGATGTTTTCAAGGTTTGGAACAGCAGAATACTGGGTTAGGAATCATCCAGCATTGGAGCGGCCAGAGGAGCTGTGCCAGTGCCAGCAGCCGCTCCTGTAGGGGCCCCAGCGCGAGATGCCACGGAACACCAGAGAAGATGCCCCTCCCCCACGTCCTTTTTTTTTTGGAGGTGGTGAGGATTGTGGACTTTGCATCTCAGAGTTGATATAAAATTTAATTAATCAGGAAGATGAGAGAGAGGACATCTTTGCTAGAGAGATTTAAATTTTTTCTTTGTGAAAAAGTGATTACTTGATATGTGAGAAGACTCATAGTGAAAAATTTTTAGATTGTATCAAATGTCGGGAATTTTTGTATTGCTGGCAAAGCAATGAATCTGCAGGGCTACAGTGTACTCATAATTCTAATTAGTGGACTTAATCAGATTTAGTGGGAAATAGAAAATAATGATTTACTTTATATGGCACAGTGGCTACCTGAAGGCAATAGTTACAAAGTTTTCACTTAATGAATGAACAGATGAGATAAAGGTGATCGATAATTCTCAACCAGGGATGGGGGTCAAATTAGAATTGCTTCTTCCACTTTCACCTAACGTCTGTCCACATCACCACCTCACCTTAGAGATCCGATTTATCCTTTTTAAAGTGTCATGAACCCCCCATTATCACTGCTAGCTTTGGAAATCACTGCAAAGAGGAAAGTCTTCTCAGGAGTTTGGGACAGAGAAAATGCTGGGAACCATATACAGGTATCTGAAAGCATCCAGCACAGTGGCTGGCAAGAAACGCTGATTAAGTCAACGGGCCGAAGCTGGACATTCAAATAAGGCTAAGTATATGGCTAAAACGGTTCTTCCCAACCTTTTAATTGTTTTGATTTCCTTCAGATGCCCATCTTTCCCTCCCCAGCTGCTTAAAAAGGAAAATGCCTCACAGGTATTTTAAGCGGGGGAGGTTTGTAAATGCTCCAGGCTCGATGGAGGCCAGGTTTTTGGTGTTCTGGATCAGTCTGTAAAGAGAGAGAGAAACAGGCCGCTGTTTACTAACGGTGAGTTGTTTGGAATGCGTGAGACCCTGGTCACCAGCGTCTGCTTGCTGAAAATGGCGTCAACAAAATCAAGCGCTTGAGAGGAACTTCTGAGATCCTGGGGATGGAAACAGCATGGTGAGGGCCAGTTGGCTATTTCTGGGAAGCTCTGCTCTTAACTTCCTGCCAAGGCAGGTGCATCATAACTGGGGACCTGTTCCACTCCCCACCCCCCCACCCCCCAGGCAGCCTCAATGTCCTGGGCTCCTGGCCAAGGAGGTGCTGCCCTACCATGGGGCCTGCACACGGGAGGTGACAGGAGATTCCACTCCCAGGAGAGATGAGGACATTAGCTATTCTTCTGTAAACAAAGTTGTTCTCTTCTTATTTGGCTGGCAGCCACACGGACCAATTATCCAGGTGGGCACCCAGTCTATGGAACAGTCAGGGCAGAGTCTAGGGCCTTGGATTTTGGGAATTTTATACCCGTTCTGTAGATAATTCATTGTGTGATGATGCCCAGGCCCTAACTTCCCTGAACTCGTGTTCCCTCCTGTAACATTAGAATAATAATATACTCTTCCTACTTCACAGGTTGGTAGGTAGTGAGTAATAGAATACGTAGAGAATATGTACAAGGCAGGGCTATGCAAAGTATAAAAGTACAGCCGTAACATCACAGCGGTGTCATTGCCCCTTTCCCTGGTTTTGGCAGGGACTTGATCCTTTGAGACGCAGCCACAGTTGTCAGCTCCTGTCTACTTTGGATTCAATAAAAGGTCAGCAAATGCCTTTGTTTTTTTTTTTGTTTTTTTGTTTAAACCCATTAAAAAATCACCTGGGGAAATGGTAATCGCTCTTGTTCTATAGAGAAAATATAGTGTATTAGTGAGGTGGACAGCCTTTGGAGTCAGCTTGGTTTTACATCCTGGTTTTGCTAATTGTGTGACCTTGGATATATCGCTTAAAGCTCGGTTTCCTGATAAGGTGGTTTTTAAGGAATAAATGTGTGTGTTTGGTTCACAGCAAGGCTTCAACCAATGTTAATTATTGTCCTTGTTGATGAAACCAGGAAGTTGAGTGGTTTGTCTTTAGCACCACAGCTGAGAAGCAGCAGAGCTGGGAGGTTAACTCAGTTTTTTCTGACTCCAAGTCTAGTGCTCATTCCGCTGTACGATAGTTACCCACCATTGGTGCCTATTTCTATCTTTTATGTTCCTTTGATCCTTCAGAGGCGAGTGATGTTTTGTTGTAATTATTTTTATAGTAATTGAGTCAAGCAATCGTGGGCCATGTAAGGCATTATGTAGGTGGGAATGGAAGGGACTTTTATCTCTTAAGGATCTTTTGGGGTTTGAACTTTGACCACTCATCCACCCATTCCTTCATTCAGCAAACATTTATTGAGTTTCTCTATGTGCCAGGCACTGCCTAGGTGCTGGGGGTACAGCTGTGAACAAAGCAAAGAGCCTATGTGGAGCTAGCAGTCTAGTCTCAGGGTCTTCCTTGGGAAAAGTCCACGAACTTTCCCTTAGAGCACTTTATTTTTCTTTCTGTTGGTAAGTGTTGCTTTGCATCATGGGAAGCTTTATCTTAAGCTGCCCTTGTGGTTCTCAGTGTAAGCTGTGCTCCAGCGTCACCTGGAAAGTCCGTTAAAGCTGGAGATTTCTAGGTCTGGTATAAGACTATGATCTATAATTGTAACGAAAGTCCCCCCTCCCCCCACGAAATTCTACTTCACAGCCAAGTCCAAACTATACCTTTTGTACTTAAATACCTATTATTTTGGATTTTCCCATAATCTCTTGGTGAGTTAGCCTCACTTCCCTGGCCACACTGTCATCCCTCTGGAGAGATTTGTATTTTTACCTCCTCTGTATTCCAGCAGCACCTGCTCCTTGGTTGGACTTGTGGCAGGTACTCACATACTTATTAATTAATTGTTCTCTTTAGATAATTGCTAGTTGGACCAGTCATAGGGAGGCCTTTGGGTATAGGGGAGAATGCACAAGCTTTGAAGAAAGGCAGACTGGGGTGGAATCCCAGCCCTGCCATTGTCTAAGGGGCCAGTTAGTTGGTCAAGTTACTGACCTTTTTGACCCTCCTCCATTCCTTCCCTGAGCAAAAGGGATAATTACTCTGCTTTACAAGGTTGTGAGGATTAAATGACACAAGTTAGAGGAAATAAAAGCCAAGCACTAACACTCAAAAACTGTTTGTTGCTAGCATCCTTAACTTTCTAGAACTCCTATGCAGGCAGTTTGTAGACTCTCAGGTTTGGGCCAAACAAGAGGCCTGGTTCAGGTTTAGGAGTCACATGACCTGGTTTATACTCACAGCTGACTTGCTGTGTGACGTCCGGCAAGTCAGTTAACCTCTTTGGGACACAAGTTCATCATTTGAAAACTGAGTTAAGCCAGCCTTCTCCCATCCTTTTTGTAAATCGGAGGAAAATGATGACAATTTGGAAAAGATAATTTTTAAGAACCAATTCTAAAACATCCCAATAATGACAACAAACCCAACATATACATGCTCAACACGGGACTTTGACATGGTAGGTATTCAAGAACCATTTACTGAATGAATGAATATGCTCAAACAGCCCCCAATGAATAATCCATGATCTCTTAAGCTTCCTTCCAAATTTTCCCACCACCCCAGGGTACTTCATACCCTCCCTTCCATAAGGTAAGAGCTACTTGGCAGGACTCCACAATGTCAATTTTAATTTCCAACTTTGTGTTGTGATGTTTCAGAGTTTATACAGCTCTCAGGGAGAAGCAGTTGTCACCATGGCAACCTTCAGGCCACTGCAGTGCGAGAGATTAGTGCCTGCCCAGAACTAGTAATTGCTGTAGTCTTTTCCTCTTGGATTCCTAGCAGTGGATGCTTGAATACAAATACCGAGTAGGCTCCAGCCAGTCAGAGTAATAGTGTATGGCAGTAAACGATCTGTTAGCTGATGCTTACATTTCAGACAAATTGAGGAGGTTGTCAAAGGCATTAGCTTCTATCTTTTCCAGGGAATCACTCTGAGAGATTTCACTATGGGAGAGAGAGGGAGAAAAAAAACAAAAGAAGAAGAAACATGAAAGAAATGACTGTGTCTGCATGATAATAGGCTGTGTGCGTGGCCCAGCCACTGGGGGCTCCACTGTGCCCTTTTCAAAAAGAACGGGGGTGCCTTAAGCTGACCTCACATCCTAAAGTCAGCATCTCCCTTTAGGAGCACAGATAGGCGTTTACAACCCAGGCACAGCTGAAATGCAAGTTTCAGTAACCCCTGTTTATGTGACAGTCTTATTTTTATTTTATTTTATTTTTTTTAGTCAGATTATTAGAAGTGGACAGGCCCTTTCAGAAAATCTAGTCAGATTCCCTTGTTTTACAGCTTTGAAAATTGAGGTTGTAAGAGGAGAGGCAGGCACCTAGTGTTTATAGGAAGGTTTCAGGACCAAGATCAGGATATCTGGGTTCCCAACTCCATCATTCTAGTGAGGTTTTATTTTGGGTTGAATTCATGGTTTCATAACTCTCCGCCTTTCCCCAAATCCTGTTCTGAGGCAATTGCAACATGGTCAACTCCTGCACATAGTGTCTTTCTTGGGTCGTAACTGTCTATTTCTTTGACTGTTTTTCTCACTCTCTTAGCAAATCAAGGACAAGGAGTATGTCCTAGTCACTTCTGAATTCCTGGCACATTAAGTATGAATGAGTGAATGGATTAGTGAATGAACTGTTTGTTTTAAAAAAGACACAAAAGTAAAGGAACCATTTTTGCCATCTTACCACCTCCAAGCATGCAGGTAATGTCAGTGTTACCCTAAAATCCCAACCTAAGCTACCATTTGCTGCCAGCTGAGAAGAAAGTCTCAAATTTACAAATTGTACATTCGCGTGTTTCTGAGGTTAACATTCTGCTGAAGCCTTCACACTTGATGAGCGCTTTAGCCCACAGAAACACCAGCCTAAAACAGTTAATGTCTTTTGTGAATAACACAGTAATGGATCAATCCTGGGCTGATTCATCTTATTCCTACCTAATGGTTTGTTTATTTAACTGTGGCTGCTTTTCTCACTAGGAGGTCTTAATGCATTAAAAGTTCTCAACGTTAAAATTTGAGAGCAGAAGAATAAGGGTTAGGTTCAAGCAAATTGACCTTTCTGTAACCTGCAATGATTTCCTACAATATGTACTAATTGTTAAGGAATTATTTTTAATATCTTCATTGCTTGCTAATATCCTAAAGAGCAGTCAGAGGTTTCCCAAGTTACTGTGACAGCCCAGTGGATTGTAAAGATCAGAGATGCTCTCTGGAAACCAAAAGGCCCCTTAGGTCCTTTGACTCAAACGAACATTAAGGGGGAAGCTGGAATCCTGGAGGCCCAAGAAAGACCCCCTTTATGGGGACTTGGACCCTATCTAGAAGCTGAGACCCAGGGACAAAGGATTGAAGTTACATCCAACACAAATGTGAGGTCATACTGCCTTATCAGGCTGCTTTACACTCTGATAAATGTCTTTTCTCAATAAAACTATAAATATTGTGTTTTTGTCAAATGCTTATTATGTTTTAGATACAAAGATTATCTTCTCATGCACAATAAACTTCCAGTACATTTTCTTCTATGTGGCTGTTATCGAAAAATGTGACATGAGGGAATAACTGCTCTAGCAGGAGAATTTTTATGATTGGAATCTGTGTTTTTTTCTACTTGAGAAGTGTATCATTACTTATCAAAATGCATTCAGTTCATTGAAGCAAGGTTAATTATCTAGATTTTAATGACTCTTGAAAATCAGACCTTTCTTCAAAGGTCCCTAGATATTATTGTATTAAAAAAATTCAAGTACTAAGGTTTCCTAAACACACTTTCTCTCCTAGAAAAATTATCCCTTTTGAACTATGCTTTCTCTTAGAAAAAAAATTTATTATTCCAATTACGAATGTCTTTTGATATGCAGCATCTTACTTACATTTTTATGACCTCATTAAGTCCTCTGAAAGCTTGAGATGGGATTACTTTGATAGGGAGATAGGTGAGTGATCTAGAAAAGAAAAAAGGAAAGCCAAGAGTTATAGATTTAAAATCGGATGCCTTTTAAATTCATGAATAAAATGTGTGTGTGTGTGTGTGTGTGTGTGTGTGTGTGTGTGTGTGTGAGACTACAGAGTTCCCAACAACCGGATTCAGGTTGAGAATTCTAACTTACATCAATAAAGAGATCTGTCATGCCTTACTCTTGGTCTGTATCAAAGAGTGTGTAATTCTGTGGTTAAGATCCTGAACTTTGACATCAGACACACCTGGTTCAAATCCTCACTCTCTCACTACGTGGCTTTGTGACCCTGAGCATGTTATTTAAGCTCTGTGTTTCAGCTTTGTCATCTACAAAGAGGAAATAACTCCTATTTCACAGGGTCGTTATGATGATTAATCAAGATAACACATGTAAAGAACAGGGCTTGGCACCAAGGACCTTGTTAAAACAAAGTTCTAGAGTGGCCCTGCGTGCTGGGTTGGGAGAATGGGAAAGGCTACGTTGGGTAGAGTGGAGAAACGACTGGGGAAAATACACTTGGAAACCAGGCAGACAGGAGAAGGGAAGATGGACTAAGACCGTGCTCCATGCTCTCCAGGCAGCCTGTGTCAGTATTGTCCCAACTAGAGCTCCTATGGTTAAGTCACATGGGCAGCTCATGCCATTTGGGGGAACACCCAGAGAGCATTCCTTCAGGTACTTGCTTATATCCAGAGGGACAATCTAAGTGCTCTTGAATTGAGATTAAAATTATGTATTATATAAGAGTTGAGAATAGAGTGATTACTCAGCAACAGCAAAACTAGAAGAGGATAATGTACAAATGCTGGGGTTAAGGTAACTCTGGAGAAAGCATCTGCCAGGCAAGGATGAATGTTCATCTAACATTTATGAAGCTTCCACAGTGGTTCCAGGTTTTGGCCCAAGGACTGGCAGATAGGAGGGGAGTAGACCAGGACATTTCAGATGAGATGCGAATATCAGGAATATGAGAACAGAGGTGGGGGATGCTGCCTTGCTTTTCATGTGTCTATGCAGCAGGGACTGTCTGAGCTGCTAGGAAAGAAAACCTCCACAAAGAGCAGCTTTGCATCAATGAGCTGTCTTACAGTCCTGGAGGGACTTACTACTGGTGTAAGGTGCTGTGTGACTGATGCACACACACCTATAACCTTATTTTGCCCACTCAACAATGGAGTGAGGTGGGCATTCCCCACTGATAGCAGAAGAAACTGGATCACACAGAGATTAAATAACCTGACAAGGTAACATGACTAGGCAGGCTGAGTCCAAATATTCTTTGCACTGTGTAATATTGGGCTGAAGCATGTGATTGCTAGCCCACACTCTCTCTTTTTCTTTTTTCCCCCAACTTTATTGATGAATAATTGACAAATGTTAATTGTGTTTTTTAATGTGTACAATATGATGATTTGATATGCACATACATTGTGGAATGATGGATAATTAACACATCCATCATCTCACATAGTTAATTTCTTTTGTGTGGTGAGAGCACTTAGGATCTACTCACAGCAATTTTCAAGTATACAATATTGTATTATTAACTATAGACACCAGGCTGTACATTAGATCCTCAGAGCTTATTCTTATAACTGAAAGTTTGTATCCTTTGACCTATATCTCTCCAGTTCCTCTCCCCGCAGCTCCTGGCAACCATTCTATTTTCTGTTTCTTTGAAGTCGGCTTAAAAATTTTTTGTTTTAGATTCCACATATAAATGATAAATACCATACAGTATTTATCTTTCTCTGTGTGGTTTATTTCACTTAGCATAATGCCCTCCAGTTTCATTCCATCATTCCACAGTGTCACAATGGCAAGATTTCCTTCTTTTTTATGACTGAAAATATTCCTCTGTGTGTGTGTGTGTGTGTGTGTGTGTGAGTGAGTGTCATATTTTCTTTATCCATTCATCTGTTGAAGGACATTTAGGTTGTTTCCATATCTTGGCTATTATGAATAATGCTGCTGTTAACAGGGGAGTGCAGATATCTCTTTGAGATAGCGGTTTCATTTCCTTTGGATATATACCCAGGTAACCTGCTCTCTCTGTCTCAGTGAGCATGGTGCAGGGACCACCTTGCTTCTCTTGAGAGGAGGCATGTCATACTCTCGATATTACTCCTGCAGTGCAGCTTACCAGCAGCTCCTCTCTAGGAGCTAATGCAAAGAAGTTTCATTTCAGGAAAATACTTTCACTCAATAGTCTTTTAGAGCTGGTACAACCTTGAGGAAGTGATCCAAACTCGGTCTTCTGAACCTATTCCTGAAGATAGTCCCACCAAACACATTGTTCAATGCCCAAACTTATTTACCAGGGCGTCCGAGAGGAACAGGGACAGTGGGGTAGAAATCTTTTTACGATGGCATGTTTGCTTCCTATATTTCTTCTGGAATCATGTCTGCTTGGCTTACTGATTAAAAACACAGTTTTATAGCTCTCCGCACTGCCAAGTCAATAAATTTCCAGAAGAGAAAGCTGTATTCTACTGTACCCCATGCAACATCAATAAAACTGACAGCCAAATTCTGATTCCAGAATCTTTATTGCTGGGGATAATGCAGTGCAGAACATATTTTGGAGAGTGTTTACATAAAAGCTTCAGCTGAACCCTTCAGAGCGCTTTTATTCATGCAAATGGAGACCAGAAGCCGGGACCTCTTGGCAGGCAGCCTCCTCCTCCACAAGGGAACACAGTGTGGCTCTCAGGAGAGCAGTTTGGCTCAGATTGGACCAGGGAGGTTGTTGGAGCTTTTGATGGCTATAGGGATGAAGGATGAGGAGAAAAGGTCGGATAGAAGAGAGAGACGCTGTAGGTCATGCACGGGCTGTCCCCAAAGACTATGGAGCAGCCCTGGTGCAGGATGAAATTTTGCACTTGATGTTGATGCCATAGAGCAGGAAAGGCTGAGTGATGGAGTTCTCACCAGGGTCAAAGAGCCACTGAGTGAACAGCTGGGGGCTTTGTGGGTGTGGCCTGAGGGCCAGAGAATGGGGAGAGAGGCAGGAACACCAAGCGTTTGTTTTCACAACAGATGTGTTCTCCTGAAACAAGGTGGAGAATGCAGTTCTATGAATTCAAAACTGCTTTCCCACTGGCTTATATTTTTATTATAGAGATGTCATGTCTTCACTTCTGATGTGCCTTCGAGTGGCAGCAGTTCCTAAGCATTCAGGTGTCTGTCTCCTGTATTTAAAACTGTTCACATGGCCCATGGTTTTTTCATAACCACTTGAATGTCCCCCCTTTGAAGGTGCTTTCTTCTTTGATGGATGCATCTGTGATTCTTTCCACGAAGACAGAAACTTTCAGCAGTATAAATGCTTGTCTCAATTACCCTGCTATTCTCCTCCTGCATACATCCCAGACAAATGATCACTCTGATACTTAAGGGACACTGTGCAAGGATTGTCTTCACAGCATTGTGGTGGGTTGGAGGCATCCTGGGTGTCCTTTACTGAGTGAGGGAATTTATGGTAAAATGTGGACAATACACACCTAACTAATTGGTCAGCTGTTAGAAGCAAGAGTTGAAAGGCACACAAAGCAGCACCATAGATCTTAGAATCATGGTGCTGAGAGAAACAAGAAATTATATATATATATATATATATATATATATATATATATATATATATATATATAGCTACTTGCAGAATTAAAATACATGCACACCAAACAGACACTTTAAAAGAAGACATATAAACATACATTAGGATGGTTGCCTATGATGAATCAAAAGGAAGTAGGAGAAGGGGGTAAAATAAATAACTACAAACAGAGAGAGACTTTGAGACTTTGAATGGACCGATAATAATGTTACTTGAATGAAGAAATATGATCCACTTAACCCTCTGTACCTGAGAGGCAAGTGTATAAGCAAAGTTTTACTTTGATGGACTGAGTTCTCCCCTCCCTCCTTCCTCCTGTTCTTCCTTTCTTTTTTTGAAGTCAGGCCTATGTGTATTCCAAGAATTTTGTGAACTTTAGGAACTCTTGTGGAAAGGTCTAGTTGGCATCATTTGATATCGAGCAGAAGCCAAAGAGAACTGAGGGAAAAAAAAGCCATCGGCAGGGACAGTTCAGCAGCCCTGATGTCCAGGGTCAAAAAAGGGCCTGAAAGCTATGCATAAAGCAAAGAGGGGCAGAGCCTTTTCTGTCTCAGACAAAGAGGGTGACACGCCCAAATTGTGCATCTCAGAGGGGTGGTAAAGAAGCAGGATTGGTGGGCAAATGTGAGGTCGAACATGCAGGATGGAGAATTCCCTCTGCCCCTAGAAAAGTGAGTTGAGATGGCTGTGGAACCAAGCAGCTGCGTATATTGATTACATTTTTCACAGTCCTTTTTACAGTTTTTAAGCTTTGATTTCTAAATGAATGGATGATGTAGCACAGGTGACACCTGGATTATGGCCAGTCCCACCTTGCCCAAGTGCCTTGGCCATAGATGTTGAAACAAATGCTTAGATTGGACGATAAAGTCTGCCTTAGTTTCATCATTTCTGGAACCTCCATCTACTCATGAAGATGAGAGACCAACAAATGGAGACATACCCAGTAATGAAGTTACCAAATAGATCGATGCATGTAACAGCACAAAGATTTAAAATCGTTTGGAAAAGTCCAGATATTTGCATTATTAAAAGGTTCTACATTCCTCAACCCTCCCGCTTCTGGGTGAAACTTGAAGTAGGAGCAGCCTCTACCCCTTGGGACGGGAATAAAGCAGTCGCCCTAGTTCTGGGACCTTGTAATTGGGGATGACTCTGATGACGTCCTGTGTTTCTCTACATTGTCTACACTGAACGCAACAATATTTGGGGCAGGAAGGCACCTGCAGGGCCTCGAGTTACACTTGCTTTCCCCCAAACCTCATTGGTGCTTGCTTTTGCCTCGATTCCTTATCCTGTAGCCTGCCTGGTATCCCCAGAGTCCATATAGGAGTGGAGCCCCTGCCCTGCCTTTCTCTAAAAAAAAACA